GAGGACGACACTTGCGGCTCTTGGGTTTGCCCCGTCGACTGCTGACCCGTCGCTGTTTCTGTGCACCGACACTTCGCTGCCGCCGTTCTACATCCTCGTGTACGTCGACGACTTGGTCTTTGCCACTGCTGACACTGAGGCTCTCGCCCTGGTGAAGTCGGAGCTGCAGAACAGACACACGTGCACAGACCTGGGTGAGCTGACAAGCTATCTTGGCTTGCGGATCACCCGGGACAGAGCACGCCGCACCATCACCTTGACTCAGTCACACATGGTGCAGCACGTCCTTCAGCGCTTCGGCTTCACCTGGTCCTCGGCACAGCACACTCCTCTGGCTACAGGTCACTCGCTCTCAGCTCCACCTTCAGACGAGTCCGTAGAGCCGAGTGGTCCTTACCCAGAGCTAGTGGGCTGCCTCATGTACCTGATGACCTGCACTCGTCCTGACCTTGCGTACCCTCTTGGCCTTCTGGCTCGCTACGTGGCTCCTGGTCGGCACCGAAAGGTGCACATGGATGCTGCTAAGAGGGTACTACGCTACTTGTGCAGTACATCGGGCATGGGGCTCGTGCTTGGAGGACGGAGCGACGTTGTCCTCACTGGGAACTCAGACGCTTCTTGGGTTGACGACCAGGCTACGCAGCGGTCGTCACAGGGTTACACCTTCAGTCTTGGCTCTGGTTCTGTTTCTTGGCGTTCTACACGCTCGTCTTCAGTTCTCAGCTCCAGTTCTGAGGTTGAGATCTACGCCACAGCCATGGCTGCACAGGAGTTACGCTGGCTCACCTACCTGCTGACCGACTTGGGAGAGCGGCCTCGTTCTCCTCCAGTGCTGTACGTCGACAACAAGGCAGCCATTGCCTTGTGTGAGGAGCACAGACTGGAGCACAGAACGAAGCACATCGCTCTGCGTTACTTCCTGGCTCGAGAGTTGCAGCAGAGTGGTCAGCTTCGTCTGCGTTACGTGGCCACTCGGGCCAACACTGCTGATATATTCACCAAGGCACTTCAGTCTGGTGATCATCAGCGTTTCTGCACCGTGCTAGGGCTTGTGCCCACTTTTCCTCACTTGCTGTAGGCTTTGCTTGTACTATGATCTATTTGTATATACCTGCATGCTTGTTTTTTCTAGGTAGAGATCACTGTGTTGTTTGTGTTGCATATATGCCTCTGCATGTGAACTGGCCTTGTGGCACTTTGCTTGTGCTCAGAGTGTGTGGTGACGTTGTGATCCACCCTGAGCTTGCTTTGCTTCTCTTGCTCTCCCCCACTTTGCCTATGGGGGTGTGTCAAAGCATATGCTTGTTATACATGTGTAGGCTGTAGTGGGGTAGCCAATATGGGGTACAGCCCCTTTTAGGGTTTCATACTTGTACCCAACTCTCTCATAGTTCATTCATTCCTGCCTATACTTTAGGGTTGGTGCGCCAGCGAGGGTTGTTTTCTGAGGCATTCTGATTACTAGGTGCGTTCTCGGTCCTTTAATCCTCCCGCCCCCTTCTGAAATTTCCCCTTATATTTTACTTCTCTGCTCCCCTCGTAAATTTTGTTAGTCAATTCGTTTCTTCTTGCATTGCACTTCTATTTAAAGAAGAGGAGCGCGAGGGGTAGCGTTTGCACGGGAGCGCGTGAGAGTGCGCATGCGAGAGCGCGTGCGAGAGCGTGGAGAGAGTGCGTGAGAGAGCGCGTGAGGGAGCAAGTGAGAGAGCGCTTGAGAGAGTGCGTGAGAGAGCGCGTGAGGGAGCGTGTGAGAGCGCGTGAGAGCGCGTGTGAGAGTGCGCGTGAGAGTGCGCGTGAGAGTGCGCGTGAGAGTGCGAGTGAGAGAGCGCAAGCGCGTGAGAGAGCGCGTGAGAGTGCGCGTGAGAGAGCGCGTGAGGGAGCGCGTGAGAGAGTGCGTGAGAGAGCGAGTGCGCGTGAGAGTGCGCGTGAGAGAGCGCGTGAGAGAGCGCGTGAGAGAGCGTGTGAGGGAGTGCGTCAGAGAGCGCGTGGGAGTGCGCGTGAGAGAGCGCGTGGGAGTGCGCGAGAAAGAGCGCGTGACAGAGGGAATGCGCAAGAGAGTGCGTGAGAGAGAGCACGTGAGAGAGTGCGTGAGAGCCCGTGAGAGAGCACGTGAGAGAGAGCGTGTCAGAGAGCGCGTGAGAGAGTGCGTGAGAGAGCGCATGAGAGAGCGCGTGAGAGAGTGCGTGAGAGAGTGCGTGAGAGAGCGCGTGAGAGAGCGCGTGAAGGACCGCGTGAGAGATTGCATCAAAGAGCGCGAGCGCGTGAGAGTGTGCATGAGAGAGCGCATGAGAGAGCGCGTGAGAGAGAGAATGCGCAAGAGAGTGCGCGAGCGGGAGTGCGACAGAATGCGTGAGAGCCCGTGAGAGAGCGCAATAGAGATTGCGTGAGAGAGCATATGGGAGAGGGCGCGTGAGAGAGCGCGTGAGGGAGCACGTGAGAGAGCGCGTGAGAGAGTGCGTGAGATAGAGCGTGAGAGAGTGCGTGAGAGAGCGCGTGAGGGAGCGTGTGAGAGCGCGTGAGAGTGCGTGTGAAAGTGCGCGTGAGAGTGTGCGTGTTAGTGCGCGTGAGAATGCGAGTGAGAGAGCGCGAGCGCGTGAGAGAGCGCGTGAGAGAGCGCGTGAGGGAGCGCGTGAGAGAGTGCGTGAGAGAGCGCGTAAGGGAGCGCGTGAGAGAGCGCGCGTGAGAGAGCGCGTGAGAAAGCGCGTGAGGGAGTGCATCAGAGAGCGCGTAAGAGAGCGCGTGGGAGTGCGCGTGAGAGAGCGCGTGGGAGTGCGCGAGAAAGAGCGCGGAATGCGCAAGAGAGTGCCCGAGAGAGAGCACGTGAGGGAGTGCGTGAGAGCCCGTGAGAGAGCGCGTGAGAGAGCGCGTGAGGGAGCGTGTGTCAGAGAGCGCGTGAGAGCGTGAGAGAGTGCGTGAGAGAGCGCGTGAGAGAGCGCGTGAAGGACCGCGTGAGAGATTGCATCAAAGTGCGCGTGAGAGAGCACGTGAGAATGTGCGAGAGAGTGTGCATGAAAGAGCGCGTGAGAGAGAGAATGCGCAAGAGAGTGCGCGAGTGGGAGTGCGACGGAATGCGTGAGAGCCCGTGAAAGAGCGCATGAGAGATTGCGTGAGAGAGCATATGTGAGAGGGCGCGTGAGAGTGCGCGTGAGAGTGCGCGTGAGAGAGCGCGTGAGAGGCCGAGTGAGAGTGCGAGCGAGAGAGAGCGTGAGAGAGTGCGCAAGAGAGCGCGCGAGAGAGCGCGTGAGAGAGAGAGAATGCGCGAGAGAGTGCGCGTGAGGGAGCGCGTGAGGGAGCGTGTGAGAGAGTGCGTGAGAGAGCGTGAGAGAGCATGAGAGAGCGTGTGCGAGAGTGCGTCAGAGAGCGCAGGAGAGAGCACGTGAGAGCGCGCGTGAGAGAGCGCGTGAGAGAGCGCGTGAGAGAGCGCGTGGGTGAGCGAGTGAGAGCGCTTGAGTGTGCGCATGAGAGAGCACGTCAGAGAGTGTCAAAGAGCGCGTGAGAGTTCGTGTGAAACAGCGCGTGAGAGTTCGTGTGAGAGAGCGCGTGAGAGAGCGTGAGAGGGCGCGTGTGAGGGTTGACTTCTCTGTTTTTGCTTGTGCAGGGCGCGTGTTGACGTCTCTGTTTTTGCTTTGTGCAGGGCGCGTGTGTGTTGACTTCTCTGGTTTTGCTTTGTGCAGGGCGTGTGTTTGTTGACTTCCCTGATTTTGCTTTGTGCAGGGCGTCTGTGTGTTGATTTCCCTTATTTTTCTTTGTGCAGGGCGCATGAGCTGAGAAGGGAGATGAGGGAGGGAGTGGGATGGAGATAAGGGAAGGAGGGAGGGAGGGTTGTAGGGAGGGGAAGGTGGGATAGGCCAGCAATCATTTCTGCATTTCTGAATTTTATTCATGACGGGTGTGTCTTTATTACGGTCTCTGTATCTATCTGTGCTTGTTTGCGTGCATGTTAGTGTGTGTTGTGCATGTGCCTATGTGAGATATGTGTGTTTGTTTGTTTGCACCTGTCTGTCTCGAGGCGTGTGCTAAAGTGCCTCGTGTATGCAACTGATGTGTGATGTTAAAGTGTGTCGGGTCTGCGTTTGAGGTGGGGATCGTTGTTGGGGCAGCGTTGCTCGCCTTAGCATACCGGAACCACCTCTGCTGTAGCACCGATGCATTTTAGCATTCACTCACAGTTGCTTGTGTTGTTTTTGCACGTGTTATGCAACTGAGGTGTGATGTAAAATGTGTCGGGTCTGCATTTGAGGTGGGGATCGTTGTTGGGGCAGCGTTGCTCGCCTTAGCATACCGGAACCATCTCTGTTGTAGCATCCGTGCATTTTAGCATTCACTCTTAGTTGTTATGTGTTGTTTTTGCACGTGATCAATGGATGCGCTACACATGATTTGCGTTCACGTCCAGTGGATGTTTCTCGTCAATTGTGTTTCGTGACGATACGGCGATTATGGAATGAAAGGTTACGTTTGGTTTCATTTTTGGGGGACTCTTGTGTCAGTGCTTTCGTCATGTCCACAACTTTGGAGCACTCGTTTTGAAAACGTTAAAACGAGGGCTTTAACCGTTGGGAAAATGACAAAAACTGCACTGTTCATTCGAGTCGACCGAAAAGTGCTACCAAATGTATAGGGTTGCTACGCAACCCAAAAAACATGTACCGGAAGTTGCATTTTGTGCGAAGCTTACGCCAATCGTGGCACTCGGTAACAATGTCGTCGTTACGAAAACCTGGGGACGGGGGATCTGTTCTGGGAAATTGAGAAAGACAAACACTAGAGAAACACAGCGCACTTGAAATTTCCATTACTATTCTCTGCGAGCCGGCTTGCCCACAGACCCCTCACGTCGCGGCGCGTCTCGTCGTTTCTCGTTCTCATATCGTCGCGTCTCGTCGTCGCTAGTCACATTTCGTCGCTCCTCGTCGCACTCTCGTCGCATCACTTGGACCAGCTATTACCAGCCTCCCTCAAGAGCCCGCAACACCAACAAAAAATCAACTCAAAAGTCAATGGCGCTAGTACCACCCCAGAACCAGCGCGAAGCGCGCCCACCGCCGGACGCGGAAGCAGCAACTGCGCCGCCGCCGGACGCGGAAGCGGCGCCGCCGGCGCTCGCGGCGTCGCCCGTTCCCGCAGCGTCCTCCCGACCTGCCGAGGCAGCCGTTGCAGCCAGTGCGAGGTCCGTCAACGCGGAACGCGCGGTCAACGCGGTCAACGCTGGTAGCGCGGTCAACGCGGTCAACGCGAATTGCGCAGCAGAGGCGGTCAACTCTGCCAGCGGAAGCGGCGACATGATGAGAATGTGCGACCTCCCCAACGCGGTCCAGCTTCGCATCCTCTCGCTCCTCGCTTCTCCTCCTCCTTCCCTGCCTGCCGCCCCGCGGCAGCAGCAGCAGCAGCAGCAGCAGCACGAAACGCCTGTCTCCCTTCCGACCAGCAGTGGTAGTAGTAGTGTCAGTGTCAGTGCTGCTCCGGGTGGGGAGAGTAGAGGAGTGCAAGTGAGTGCGGGTGGGGGGCCGCATGCGGAGGAAAGAGGGGAGGAGAAGCAGGAGGAGCAGGAGGAGGAGCAGGAAGAGGAGGACGAGGAGGAGGAGCAGCGGGTGAGGGCTGCAGTGGCGGAGATGATGACACGTGGCTATGCTGTGCTGGATGGCTTTATGGGAATGGCCGAGGTGAGTGAGAGGACGACGAGAGGGGCTCCTGTTCCTGCTCCTGCTCCTGGTGCTAGTGCAAGCACCGTCCCTTCTCTGTCCTCCCATTTCCACTCCCCTCCCCTGCCTCCCACGCACAGGCAGTAGCAGCAAGTACAGAGTCACTTTGAGAATTCTGAATCCAGTATAGTACCTTCCCTTCCCTGTCCTCCCACTTCCCTCCCCTCCTTCCCACGCACAGGCGGTGGCAGCAAGGGCGGAGGCAGAGCAGCTGCGATCGGCGCAGTGCATGCGACCCGCACGCATAGGCGGGGGGCAGGGTGGAGCAGCAGCAGCAGCAGCACTGGCGCTGGCACTAGCAGCAGGAGCAGGTGCAGGAACAGGAGCAGGAGCAGGAGGAGCAGGAGGGGCAGGAGCAGGGGAAGGGATGAGTCTGGTGGGGGGTCCGCAGGTGGATGAGAGGGTGAGAGGCGATGTGCTGGTGTGGCTCACGTCCCTGCCCTGAGACTCACCCTCATCTGCACCTCATTGTGTCTCGTGTATCTGCCCTGCGACCCCTGCTGCACTCGGCCCGTGCTCATGCCTCTGCTGCTGCTCCTGCTGCTGCGTTCCCTCCACCTGCACCTTCGTGCGCCTTGGACGTATCTGGAAAGTTCTCCTGTCAACTCGCGTGCTACCCTGTGAGTGAGCTTTCCACCCCACACACACACCCGCGCGCCCCACGGCCCCCAAACACACACACCCCAAAACTCACCGCACACCCGTTTCTGCGTTTCCTGCTTCAATGTTTTCATTCAACGCACCCTTATCAACCAGCACCCGCGACCCTAATCTTTCACACCCACTCCACTCCTCCTCCCCTCTCCATGCACCCGCCCACTCCACTCGTCCTCCCCTCTCCTGCTCGGTCAGCGCAAAGGTGCTCTCTACGCATGGCACACAGACCGACTGGTGACTTTCTGAGTCCCCTTCCAGCCCCCACTGTACGGTGTTTTTGTGACTCGACTTGAAAACATATCTCCTCCAATTTCCCCGCCTTCCCTACTTCCTTCCTCCCCCTTCCCGCCCCTCACGCTCAGGACAACGGCACTCAGTACGTGCGGCACACGGATCTGCCCCCCTCCAGCCCCCACCGCAGGGTAGCTTTCTAGTCAGCTTAGAGGAAACAAACACCCCCGTCCCATTCGCCAACCCCTCCCCTTTCTTCCCCTCTTCCCTCACACTCAGGGCAACGGCACGCGATATGCACGGCACACAGACCGGTCCCCCTCCAGCCCGCACCGCCGGGTGACAGTTCTCTACTACCTCAACCCTGCCCGGGACCCCGCCTCCATGGGCGGCAACCTGCGGCTGTATCTGCCTCGCGCGTCTCATGTGAGGGACGGTGGTGCTGTAGGCGCAGCAGCGGAAGCAGCAGATGAAGCAGCAGCAGCAGCAGCAGCAGCAGCAGCAGCAGCAGCAGCAGCAGCAGCTGTTAGAACAGGGATGGGTCATGCATACAGGGCTGGTGGCGGTGGCGGTAGCGGTGGCGGTTGTGACAGCGAGGGGAAGCACCAAAAGGGAGGGGTAGAGGTAAAGGAGGGAGAGGAGGGAGAGGAGGGAGAGGAGGGAGAGGAGGGAGAGGAGGGAGAGGAGGGAGAGGAGGGAGAGGAGGGAGAGGAGGGAGAGGAGGGAGAGGAAAAGGAGCAGGAGTGCAGTGTGGACATAGCGCCCTTGGCGGACCGTCTTCTGCTGTTCCTGAGCCATATACCCCACGAGGTCTTGCCCTCGCACGCCCACCGCTTCTCCCTCACCTTCTGGTTCTGCTGCTCCCCGCACGCACAGCAGGCGACTTCTGAGGCGCCTAAGTCGGGAGTGTGCTGCACTGATGGCCCGCACTCGCATAAACAGGAGGAGCGGACATTGCAGAGGGGAGGCGTGCAGGAGGGAGGAAGTGGGGGGCTAGGAGGTTTTGAGATGTCTCAGCAGCACTCGCATGGACAGGAGGAGCGCTCAGCGCAGGGAGGACGTGTGCAGAGGGGAGGAAGAGAGGGGCTAGGAGGGGTAATGGAGGGGCGTGGGCTGTTGCCAACGGATGGCGGGGGTGCTTCGGATTGTGCAAGAGGGGGAGGAGGGGAGCAGAGAGCAGGGGAGGGCAGCGCAGGGGAGGGCAGGGCAGGGGAGAGCAGCAGGGAGCGCATCTTTGTGTCGATAGCAAGCTATCGGGACTCGGAATGTGTGTGGACGGTCCAAAGCCTCCTGGAGAATGCTTCTATGTGGCAGCGGGTGACTGTGGGCATCGTTTGGCAGGTGGGAAGGAGGGAGAGCGAGCAGTGCGCATGGTTTATTGATAGAAATCATCATGCAAATGTTGACAATTTCTAGAATGGCATGCAGCTTGCAGCAAGAGTGGGGTGTGTGTGGAACTGTTGTGATTGTTGGCCGGTTCAAACGGACCCCAAGCGGGTACCTGTTATGTTACTGCCGTGACCGTGACCGTGACCGTGACCGTGACCGTGACCGTGACCGTGAGCACTATATCTTCCTCTCATCACAGCACCGCCTATATCTGCTACCGACCGCTACCTTTCGCCGATGACTGATTCTGCAACTCCAGCTTCTCAAGCCGTTTAAGCAGCCGCAGCCCACCTGTTTGCTACTGACAGCACTATATCTTCCTCTCACCACCGCACCACCTATATTTGCCGCTACCTTTCCTCATCCGCCCTTCACCACCTTTCGCCACCCTTCTTACCCTTCACCGCTCTTCACCATGTGCCTCTCAGCTTAGATCGCGGAGGAAGACCGTGCGGTCACCACTGAAGCGCTGCTGTGCTCTCTGCCGGCCTGCTACCACTCGCACATAAGACAGGTGCGCCTGCCACTGCAAGCTTACGTGCCAGTGCACACTCACTACTTGCTCCCGCTGCTTGCTCCCGCTGCTTGCTCCCGCTGCTTGCTCCCGCTGCTTGCTTACTCACTCACTCCCACTGCATGATAACCATTCATGCTCACACACAGCTGAATCTCCACTCCACCTCCTCTTGTTGCTCGCACATGCTCCCATGCTCTCGTGCTATCATGCCCCCATGTTCCCAAGTTCCCATCCTCCCATGTGCCCATGCGCGCACGCTGCCGTGCCGCTGCATGCCGTGTGACAGGTGGTGTTACTTACCAGCAACCAACCACAGTACAGAGCCCCTGTTACTGTTGAGAAATCTCATATCTGGCACTCTGTTGAATTTCCAAATGTGACACATATGCTCTCCCATCACATGTTGTATGTGTGGTGTGTCAGGTGGTGCTACCAGCATGCATGGCACGGGGTCCCTGTTGGGCGAGGGCCATAGCACAGCACATGTGGCAGGGCGAAGAGTACTACCTCCAGGTGGGCGCCAGGTGGGAGGCAGATGGGCAGCAGGTGGGCGGCAGGTGGGCGGCAGGTGCGCGGCAGGTGGGCGGCAGGTGTACATTAGTCGATGCATCTTTCTCTTTGTGCTGACTGTGATCTATGAGAAATCCCAATAATCAGACGTCCATGTATGTAACCCCTCATCTCTCCATCGTGCTCATCTCTCTGTTGAGCAGCAATGCTTTTCCACCATGCTTTTCCACTCCTTCCTTCCCTTCCCTAAAATCCAACCCCACGCTTCCCCCCCTCACTCCAATCTCTCCACCAGTCCCCTTCTCCCCGTCCCCCTCTCTCCATCCCCTTAATCCCCGTTCTTCCCAGATTGACTCTCACATGCGCTTTGTACCCGCATGGGACACCCAACTCCTTGCCTTCCACTTCCGCGCCTCCCACCTCGCTCCCAAGCCCATCCTCTCCTCCTACCCCCCTGGCTACTTCGGCCTTGGCCCTTCCGCCGTCATCCCCCCTATAGACCTCTCCTCTGCTTGCGTTCTCCTGTGCGCGAGCCATTTCAATGAGAGAGACGGGATGTTGAGGATTAAAGGGAGGCGGGTGAGCAGTGGGAGGAAGGGGGAAGGTGGGGAGGAGGAGAGTGACTGGAGTGGGGGGTCTGCAGATGCGGAGGAAGGGAAAGGGGGACGGGCGGGAGGAGGCCGAGAGGAGGAGGAAGGAGGGCCGAGAGAGGGAGGTGGAAGAGATGGAGATAGAAGAGAGGGGACGGGTGAAAAGGAAGGAGTAGGAGTTAAGGGTGGGGTAGAGACGGAGAGGAAGGAGGGAGCGGTGATACAGGAGAGAGGGGCAATCCAGTGGACAGAGATGGGCGAGGGTTCTCCGGGTTCTCCTGTGCCTTCGCTGTTCTGGGCTGCTGGGTTCTCCTTCTCCTGCGCATCAGTCATCCGTGAGGTATTAATTCATCCAGTTGAGTGCTACCGTGCCACGCATCGTATTGTTTAGAATTCTCTGAATCTCTCCTTCTCCTGCGCATCAGTCATCCGTGAGGTATGCATTCATCCAACTGTGTGCTCCTGTGCCACGCATCGTGCATCCAATATGCTGCCACGCCGCCTTGCCGCCATACAGTCTCCCATCCATGCCTCCCGTGCCTCCCATGCTCTTCTGCCTGCCTGCATGCCAGGTGCCCTACGACCCCTCTCTCTCCTTCCTCTTCTTCGGGGAGGAGCCTTGTGAGACGCGCCAAACGATGCTTCCCGTGCCTCCCATGCCGCCCTGCCTGCCTGCCAGGTGCCCTATGATCCCACACTCTCCTTCCTCTTCTTCGGCGAGGCGCCTTTTGAGGCGTGCCAAATGATGCCTCCCGTGCCTCCCATGCCACCCTGCCTGCCTGCCAGGTGCCCTACGACTCCACGCTCTCCTCCCTCTTCCTCGGGGAGGAGCTCTCAATGGCACTGAGCTGCGTCTCTTCACAGGAATCTCGTGTCATGACCCCCTCTCCCATGCCTCTCATGCCTTCCTCTCCCCACTGCCTGCCAGGTGCCCTACGACTCCACGCTCTCCTCCCTCTTCCTCGGCGAGGAGATCTCAATGGCACAGCGCTGCGTCTCTTCACCAGAATCCCGTTTCATGACCCCCCGCGCCCCTTTTCTCTCTCAACCCTGCCTGCCTGCCAGGTGCCCTACGACCCCGCGCTCTCCTTCCTCTTCCTCGGCGAGGAGATCTCGATGACACAGCGCTGCGTCTCTTCACCAGAATCCCGTTTCATGACCCCCCGCGCCCCTCTTCTCTCTCAACCCTGCCTGCCTGCCAGGTGCTCTACGACCCCGCGCTCTCCTTCCTCTTCTTCGGGGAGGAGCTCTCAATGGCACTGCGTCTCTTCACGCACGGATACGACTTCTTTGCCCCACCACTGCCTCTCGCCTTCCACCAGTGGTCCCGCGCCTACCGCCCCTCTCTCCCTACTGTTATTGCGCCCTCTCTCGCCCCCACTCTCGCCCCCGCACTCGCCCCCACTCTCGCCCCCGCACTCGTCCCCACTCTCGCGCCCGCACTCTCGTCCTTGTCACCGTCTTCTATAGAAGAAGTTACCAAGGCAGCCGCTAAGGCAGCAGCACAGGCGCGGGTTCAGCTGCTGCTGTGCCCGCACGGGGCAAACGGTGCAGGGTGTGAGGGCAAGGAGAGTGGGGAGCAGCAGCAGAGTGGGTGCAGGGAGAGGGAGAGAGCAGCAGCAGTGGTGGCAGCATATGGTGTGGGGGAACGGCTAGAGTGGAGTGTTGTGCCTTGGACAGACGTGCATGGCAGGCCTCAGGGCACAGTCAGGGCACTCAAGGAAGCAGAGCCTCTGCTCAAAGAAGCTGAAACTAGTTTTGAGTCGACTCATAAACGGACAGACGTGCATGGTAAGGTTCAGGGCACAGTCAGGGTTCTCAAGGAAGCAAAGCCTCATAACTCTGCCTCTGCTCCTGCTGCTCCTGCTGCTGCTGCTGCTGCTGGTGCTGGTGGTTCTGTTGCCGCTCCCTCTGCGGCACCTGCTGTGTCTGTCAGTGCTGCTGGTTGCTTGATGGTGGGCAAGGGAGTGGGAGTGGGGACACAGCGCACGGTGCAGCAGTTTATAGAGCACTGCGGAGTGGACTTCTGCAGGAAGGTGGTCAGTGAACGGGCCAGGAATGGTGGTCTTGACGCCTCGTGCTTCGTGGATGTTGGTGGTGATGGTGGTGATGGTGGTGATGGTGGTGATGAAGCTGCTTGTTGAGTTGAGACCCTGCTGACTCCTAACTTAAGTGGTAGATGCTCAGTGCTCTCCCTGCTGTCTCACGTTGGATTCATTAGTAAGGATGCGCTTGCATGGGTGCCACTGCTGCCTGCAGAAATGGTTAATGTATGGTAACACGAGATACTGCAAGGGTAGTCACAGGAACTGGTACGGGCTATGCACACTTGCTTTTCAGACAGGTACAGATTGCACATCTCTTGTGGCTGGCTTCTCAACGGCATACCGTATGCATTTCCTCTGCTCGATCTACGGTAGATCCCTCCCTGCTTGCAACAGCAGCACAGCACAAGATGGCAGCCCAGAACAAACAATCTTCCTTTCAAGCTTCAAATTGATGTCTTACAAAGGCTTCAAATAAAACAGTTGAATATACGGTACACAACATGAAACTGAAATAGCAAAGCACCACTTAAAGAAGACGTTTCAACCAAGGCCGAATAATGTGTCAGTCTCAGAGGCAGCTGCGTACTGGACGGGCAAAGAGGGGAGGCGGGTAACACATGGTGGCGGCACCTGTTCCTCCTTGTTCCATACCCAGTCCTGGTCCCAGACCTAACCCAACCTGTTGCAGGTGCGCTTCAATGCGACAGCAGAGGTGCAGCAGAGGGATGTCCTGCCCCATGTGCCCCACCACCTGATGATGCGAGTGCGCGGAGGGAGACGGGGGAGAGGAGCAAAGAGGAGTCTATTTTTTAGGTGCCTCAAAGCATGGGGCAGCAGAGGTGCAGCAGAGGGATGTCTTGCCCCATGTGCCCCACCACCTGATGATGTGGATGCAGGGAGGGAGAGGGGAAGAAGGAGCGGAGAGGAGGGAGGGAGGAAGGCATTGCGAGATGAGGAAATGCTTTGAGACGTCTCACAACACTTCTTTTATCAGGAGGAAGGCATTGCGAGATGAGACGATTTTTTTGGCGCCTAAAAAATGGCATTGCGAGATGAGGAAAAGCTGTGCTGAGAGAACGGACACATGCGTGTACTACCGTTCTATCCTCTTCCCCACCCTGTCCCTTATCCCCCACCTGCATGCCGCATGGGAGCGCATCCACCCAGCTGAGGGGCATGCTGACCACGGGGTGGCCTGTGACAGTCCCACCCCCCACACCACCCCTCCCCTTGTTGCCGCTCTCTCCACCCTTGCCCTTCCCCCCCCGCCCTCCCCTCAGCCCCACCTGCATGCCGCATGGGAGAGCATGCACCCATCCAAGGGGCATGCTGACCACGGGGTGGCCCGTGACAGAGAGAGGCACTGTGAACGACCGCAGGGCGCGCGGGTACGGGACCTGCTGCTTCTCCCCTCTCCCCTTCTCTACCCCCACCCCTTCCCCCTCCCCACCCCCCTACCACCCCTCCCCATTTTCCTGCCCTTGCCTCCTCTCCCCCGTCTCTCTTCCCCCTTCCCCCACACTGCCATATCCCCCACCTGCATGCCGCATGGGAGCCCGTCCACCCATCCAAGGGGCATGCTGACCACGGGGTGGCCCATGACAGTGAGAGGCACTGTGAACGACCGCAGGGCGCGCGGGTACGGGATCTCCTGAGTCTCCTGCGCTGCTGCCTGCTTTTTGTTGTCGCTGCTGCTACCGCTGCCGCTGCTGCTGTTGTTGCCGCTGTTGCTGCTGCCGCTGCTCACTGCGATTGTGAGAGGCGAGTGCTGGGGGTTGTGGGCGAATGGCAGGACAGAGGCGACTGGAGGGGAGAGAAGAATGGGGGAGGATGCGGGAGAGTGGAAGAGAAGGGAAGAAGTAGAACGGATGGTTAGGTAGGAAGAAAGGAAAAACGAAGAAGGAGGCCCAGCAGGCAGCGTGAAAGGCAAACGTATGTCGTGTTTGAAAGCACTAAGAAGGCAACTCCAAGAGCGGAAACACAGCTCCTCAAAACGTCTTCTTGTGTTTTTCTTTCTCAAGATGGCAGCTCAAAAACTCGAGCAGTAAAAGCCTGCACGGCACCTGGTAGAATCCAAGCAGCTAGCTGGTTCTCTGTCAGAAACGAGTCACGTGTAGAAAGTGTATTTATTTATGAGGCGTCTCAAAAACACACTTTGTGCAGTCGGTACAGCACCTGGTAGAATCCAAGCAGCTAGATGGTTCTCTGTCAGGAACGAGTCCAACACTGCTTGCTGCTGCTCCTGTGTCCTCCGTGCTGCAACCACTTCCGCCTCCCTCCGCTGCCTCTCCCTTTCCCTCTCCGCCTCCGCTTCCTCCTCCAAGCCCTTCCTAGCATGCTGTGCTGCATCATGACCCGTGCCATGTTTACTGCTCTTCCCACCGCCGCGCTGATGCGCTGCAAAGATGAACGCCTGGAGTCACATGCAAGAGAGCCGTGCAGGTGAGCGACAACCAGAGAGAGGGGATGAGCTTTGAGTTGACCCATGAAGATGCGGAATTCTCAAATGTGATGGACTCATATCGTACGTGAACTATAAATATATCTCCACAAGAAACGCACATACACTTGGTAAACTTAACAACCTTCTCTGAAGAGAAGCTCATGTAATGAAGCTTATTAGTTTCGTTCATTGGGTTCACTAGTTTCTGAAACACCTCACACGCCTATGACTGACTGCATGTACACATGAGCTTGACTTCTAAGTCGATTCTAAAAAGTGCACATGACCAGCCCATGGCCCACCTTGGATGCCTTGTCCAGAGCTCTGAAGTCCAGCCTCGGAGCCTCCATCAACACAAACTCCACTTGCTGCCCGTTCTCATGCTGCTGTAGCGGGTGCTGCTGGTGTTGCTGCTCTCTGCACGCACTACTACCACCAGAGGCACTTGCAGCATCCGAGCAAGCCGCAGCAGCAGCGCCGGCAGTAGCAGCGCCGCTGGCTTTAGCAGGAACGGAATTTGCGGCAAGGGCTCGGAAGAGGAGTGAAATACGGGCGTCAATAGGGGAGCCGGGGAGATGCGGGGACACAGCCACACGCAGAGGGGGAGAGTGGGGGCGTGCGAACGGAAGAGGATGGGGAGGAGGAGGAGGGGAGAATTGTGGTGGTTGAGGAGGGAGAGAAGGGTGCAGGGTGGGGGGAAGGCGGGAGAAGACAGCTGTCATGATGAAGAGGAGATCCCGCATGGTGCTCTGGGGGGAGCAGGGGGAGCAGGGGGAAGCAGGGGGAGCAGGGGGAGCAGGGGGAGCAGGGGGAGCAGGGGGAGCAGGGGGAGCAGGGGGAGCAGGGGGAGCAGGGGGAGCAGGGGGAGCAGGGGGAGCAGGGGGAGCAGGGGGAGCAGGGGGAGCAGGGGGAGCAGGGGGAGCAGGGGGAGCAGGGGGAGCAGGGGGAGCAGGGGGAGCAGGGGGAGCAGGGGGAGCAGGGGGGAGCAGGGGGAGCAGGGGGAGCAGGGGGAGCAGGGGGAGCAGGGGGAGCAGGGGGAGCAGGGGGAGCAGGGGGAGCAGGGGGAGCAGGGGGAGCAGGGGGAGCAGGGGGAGCAGGGGGAGCAGGGGGAGCAGGGGGAGCAGGGGGAGCAGGGGGAGCAGGGGGAGCAGGGGGAGCAGGGGGAGCAGGGGGAGCAGGGGGAGCAGGGGGAGCAGGGGGAGCAGGGGGAGCAGGGGGAGCAGGGGGAGCAGGGGGAGCAGGGGAGCAGGGGGAGGCAGGGGGAGCAGGGGGAGCAGGGGGAGCAGGGGGAGCAGGGGGAGCAGGGGGAGCAGGGGGAGCAGGGGGAGCAGGGGGAGCAGGGGGAGCAGGGGGAGCAGGGGGAGCAGGGGGAGCAGGGGGAGCAGGGGGAGCAGGGGGAGCAGGGGGAGCAGGGGGAGCAGGGGGGAGCAGGGGAGCAGGGGGAGCAGGGGGGAGCAGGGGGAGCAGGGGAGCAGGGGGAGCAGGGGGAGCCAGGGGGAGCAGGGGGAGCAGGGGGAGCAGGGGGAGCAGGGGGAGCAGGGGGAGCAGGGGGAGCAGGGGGAGCAGGGGGAGCAGGGGGAGCAGGGGGAGCAGGGGGAGCAGGGGGAGCAGGGGGAGCAGGGGGAGCAGGGGGAGCAGGGGGAGCAGGGGGAGCAGGGGGAGCAGGGGGAGCAGGGGGAGCAGGGGGAGCAGGGGGAGCAGGGGGAGCAGGGGGAGCAGGGGGAGCAGGGGGAGCAGGGGGAGCAGGGGGAGCAGGGGGAGCAGGGGGAGCAGGGGGAGCAGGGGGAGCAGGGGGAGCAGGGGGAGCAGGGGGAGCAGGGGAGCAGGGGGAGCAGGGGGAGCAGGGGGAGCAGGGGGAGCAGGGGGAGCAGGGGGAGCAGGGGGAGCAGGGGAGCAGGGGGAGCAGGGGGAGCAGGGGGAGCAGGGGGAGCAGGGGGAGCAGGGGGAGCAGGGGGAGCAGGGGGAGCAGGGGGAGCAGGGGGAGCAGGGGGAGCAGGGGGAGCAGGGGGAGCAGGGGGAGCAGGGGGAGCAGGGGGAGCAGGGGGAGCAGGGGGAGCAGGGGGAGCAGGGGGAGCAGGGGGAGCAAGTAGGGTGGGGGAAAGGAAGAGGAGGGGTGGGAAGGGAGAGGGGAGGAGGAGGGAGGATGGGGGGAAGGTGAAACAAAACTCGCCGAAACGATGGCAGGATGATGCATATGTAACGAGGTGAGGTGAGAAAGATCAGGTGAGGTGCGGTGCGGTGCGATCAGATGAGGCGAGGTGAGGTGAGGTGATGTGCAGTGCAGGCGAGGTCACTGAACAGGAGATCACAAGCAGAATGTTAGAAATAGGATGGAAAAACATGGACATGAGGCATTGAGGTAGAGAGGGGGACTGACTGACAGTGAAGACGCCGTACGAGTGCAGAGAGGAGAGGAGGGCGAGCGATGGGAGAGGCACGTCACATGATTGACGGAATGTGGGCAAGGGGTGAATGGACACAGGCATGAGGGGAGGAGGCGGAGGGACTCACAGTGAAGACGCCGTACGTGTGCAGAGAGGAGAGGAGGGCGAGCGATGGGAGAGGCACGTCAGCGGCAAGCACTGGCCAGCGGTCTCGCGAGGGGCGCAGGGAACAGACGCCACAGAAGGCCGCCTGGTGGGTTGGGTTGGGGGTAGAGGATGTTTGGTCAAGGTGGGTGTGTGCAGAGCAGAGGGTTGGGGGCTGGAGGTACGTTGGCGGCAAGCACTGGCCAGCGGTCTCGAGACGGGCGCAGGGAGCAGACGCCACAGAAGAACGCCTGAGAGGAGGAGGAACGGGGAGGGATGGGGGGAGGGAGGGGATGTCAAGTTAAAGTGGGTGCGTGTGTGCGGAGGAGAGAAGCGGGTGTGTGCGGAAGTGAGGGGCGAGACAAGGACATGGAATGATGCTTGGGTTGGGCGGGTGGAAAGACGGGATATATTCACCATGCGGGAGAGGTTGAGAGAGAGGTAGAGGTATGAGACGGTGAAGAGACGCTTAAAAAGAGATGGGCAGCACGATGCGAGGAAATGCCATGTGTGATACTGCTTGCTTGGGGGTTGTGGAGAGGAGGGGAGAGGGATGCTGATGGGAGAGAGGACGGGTAAGAGGGGAGAGGGCTGTGATGAGGGGGGGCATGAGGGGAGCGAAGCGAGAGGGGTAAAGGGATAGCAGGAGCAGGCTGGTGCGTTGGTGTGGCAGAGAGGCAGTGAGGCAGAGAGGCAGTGAGGCAGTGAGGCAGTGAGGCAGTGATGCAGTGAGGCAGTGAGGTAGTGAGGCAGTGAGGCAGTGAGGCAGAGAGGCAGTGAGGCAGTGAGGCACTGACAGGCAGCCGAAGGGAGCCCTCGAGGTCAGTGCCGAGAGCAAAGGGCACCATGCCTGCTGCCACCGCCGCTGCTGACCCTGATTCATGCGCACAGGCACAGGACAGGAGAAGAAGGGCGGAGGAGGGATGGGGGGAGGGGGAATGGGGGAGGGGGAAATGGGTGAGAAATGGCATGCACGAGTGTGTGGAGTGAGGCACCATGGGACAGTGAGAAATGATGGGATGGCACAGTGGGGCATGGCATGGCATGGAATGGCATGGCATGGAATGGAATGGCATGGCATGGCATGGAATGGTATGGCATGGCATGGAATGGTATGGTGTGGTTTGGATTGGTTTGGTGTGGTGTAGCACAGCATGGTATCAGAGCACGAAGAGTCACCTCCTGAGCTTCCCCCGGGTGTGAGTGATTGGTTGATAGGGTTGCTGGTGACGCCGAACAGGCTGTTGAACGTCTGAAAGTCCATGGATAGCTGATGGGGTTGTGGCGATGGACAGGGGACGGGATGTCTTATGAGGCGCCTTAAAACGACTTTTGAGGCGCCTCAACAGGCTGTTGAACGTCTGAAAGTCCATGGATAGCATGGGGATGAAACCCCATGGGGTTGTGGCGATGGACAGGGGACGGGATGGGGGTGAAGGGGTTGAGGAGATGATGGGGGGCTGATAGGGGCGACGGGGCCAACTGGGGCGATGAGGGCGAGGGGGGTGATGATGGGGATGATGGGGGTGATGGGGGTGATGGGGGTGATGGGGGTGATGGGGGTGATGGGGATGATGGGGGTCCACGCGCGCGCCTTGGTCCACGCGCGCGCCTTGGTCCACGCGCGCGCCATGGTCCACGCGCGCGCCTTGGTCCACGCGCGCGCCTTGGTCCACGCGCGCGCCTTGGTCCACGCGCGCGCCTTGGTCCACGCGCGCGCCTTGGTCCACGCGCGTGCCTTGGTCCACGCGCGCGCCTTGGTCCACGCGCGCGCCTTGGTCCACGCGCGCGCCTTGGTCCACGCGCGCGCCATGGTCCACGCGCGCGCCATGGTCCACGCGCGCGCCTTGGTCCACGCGCGCGCCTTGGTCCACGCGCGCGCCTTGGTCCACGCGCGCGCCTTGGTCCACGCGCGCGCCATGGTCCACGCGCGCGCCTTGGTCCACGCGCGCGCCTTGGTCCACGCGCGCGCCGCCTTGGTCCACGCGCGCGCCGCCTTGGTCCACGCGCGCGCCGCCTTGGTCCACGCGCGCGCCTTGGTCCACGCGCGCGCCTTGGTCCACGCGCGCGCCTTGGTCCACGCGCGCGCCTTGGTCCACGCGCGCGCCTTGGTCCACGCGCGCGCCTTGGTCCACGCGCGCGCCTTGGTCCACGCGCGCGCCATGGTCCACGCGCGCGCCTTGGTCCACGCGCGCGCCTTGGTCCACGCGCGCGCCTTGGTCCCTGCGCGCGCCTTGGTCGACGCGCGCGCCGCCTTGGTCCACGCGCGCGCCGCCTTGGTCCACGCGCGCGCCGCCTTGGTCCACGCGCGCGCCGCCTTGGTCCACGCGCGCGCCTTGGTCCACGCGCGCGCCTTGGTCCACGCGCGCGCCTTGGTCCACGCGCGCGCCTTGGTCCACGCGCGCGCCTTGGTCCACGCGCGCGCCTTGGTCCACGCGCGCGCCTTGCGCGCCATGGTCCACGCGCGCGCCATGGTCCACGCGCGCGCCTTGGTCCACGCGCGCGCCTTGGTCCACGCGCGCGCCTTGGTCCACGCGCGCGCCTTGGTCCACGCGCGCGCCATGGTCCACGCGCGCGCCATGGTCCACGCGCGCGCCTTGGTCCACGCGCGCGCCATGGTCCACGCGCGCGCCTTGGTCCACGCGCGCGCCTTGGTCCACGCGCGCGCCTTGGTCCACGCGCGCGCCTTGGTCCACGCGCGCGCCTTGGTCCACGCGCGCGCCTTGGTCCACGCGCGCGCCTTGGTCCACGCGCGCGCCTCGGTCCACGCGCGCGCCTCGGTCCACGCGCGCGCCTCGGTCCACGCGCGCGCCTCGGTCCACGCGCGCGCCTCGGTCCACGCGCGCGCCTCGGTCCACGCGCGCGCCTCGGTCCACGCGCGCGCCTTGATCCACGCGCGCGCCTTGGTCCACGCGCGCGCCTTGGTCCACGCGCGCGCCTTGGTCCACGCGCGCGCCATGGTCCACGCGCGCGCCTTGGTCCACGCGCGCGCCTTGGTCCACGCGCGCGCCTTGGTCCACGCGCGCGCCTTGGTCCACGCGCGCGCCATGGTCCACGCGCGCGCCTTGGTCCACGCGCGCGCCTTGGTCCACGCGCGCGCCTTGGTCCACGCGCGCGCCTTGGGGGTGATGGGGGTGATGGGGGTGATGGGGATGATGGGGGTGATGGGGGTGATGGGGGTGATGGGGTGATGGGGTGATGGGGGTGATGGGGGTGATGGGGGTGATGGGGTGATGGGTTGATGGGGGTGATGGGGGTGATGGGGGTGATGGGGTGATGGGATGATGGGGTGATGGGGGTGATGGGGGTGATGGGGTGATGGGGTGATGGGTGATGGGGGTGATGGGGGTGATGGGGGTGATGGGGGTGATGGGGGTGATGGGGGTGATGGGGGTGATGGGGGTGATGGGGGTGATGGGGGTGATGGGGGTGATGGGGGTGATGGGGGTGATGGGGGTGATGGGGTGATGGGGGTGATGGGGGTGATGGGGGTGATGGGGGGTGATGGGGGTGATGGGGGTGATGGGGGTGATGGGGGTGATGGGGGTGATGGGGGTGATGGGGTTGATGGGGGTGATGGGGGTGATGGGGTGATGGGGTTGATGGGGGTGATGGGGGTGATGGGGTTGATGGGGGTGATGGGGGTGATGGGGGTGATGGGGGTGATGGGGTGATGGGGTGATGGGGGTGATGGGGTGATGGGGGTGATGGGGTTGATGGGGGTGATGGGGGTGATGGGGGTGATGGGGGTGATGGGGGTGATGGGGGTGATGGGGGTGATGGGGATGATGGGGGTGATGGGGTGATGGGGGTGATGGGGTGATGGGGTGATGGGGGTGATGGGGGTGATGGGGGTGATGGGGGTGATGGGGGTGATGGGGGTGATGGGGGTGATGGGGGTGATGGGGGTGATGGGGGTGATGGGGGTGATGGGGGTGATGGGGGTGATGGGGGTGATGGGGGTGATGGGGGTGATGGGGGTGATGGGGGTGATGGGGGTGATGGGGGTGATGGGGTGATGGGGGTGATGGGGGTGATGGGGGTGATGGGTGATGGGGGTGATGGGGGTGATGGGGGTGATGGGGGTGATGGGGTTGATGGGGTGATGGGGGTGATGGGGTTGATGGGGGTGATGGGGGTGATGGGGTGATGGGGGTGATGGGGTGATGGGGGTGATGGGGGTGATGGGGGTGATGGGGGTGATGGGGTGATGGGGTGATGGGGGTGATGGGGTGATGGGGTTGATGGGGGTGATGGGGGTGATGGGGGTGATGGGGGTGATGGGGGTGATGGGGGTGATGGGGGTGATGGGGGTGATGGGGGTGATGGGGGTGATGGGGGTGATGGGGGTGATGGGGGTGATGGGGGTGATGGGGGTGATGGGGGTGATGGGGGTGATGGGGGTGATGGGGGTGATGGGGGTGATGGGGGTGATGGGGGTGATGGGGGTGATGGGGGTGATGGGGGTGATGGGGGTGATGGGGGTGATGGGGGTGATGGGGGTGATGGGGGTGATGGGGGCGGTGGGGGCGATGGGGTGCATGGCATGCATGGCACTCACATGCGGCACGATTGTCTTGCCGAGGGGCACGGCGCCCAGTGAATGCAGGAGAGAGACGGCGGAGGCAGAGGTGTGAGGAGCTGGCTGGGCCGCTAGACGCTCGTCGCCACACGCTGTGGGGAGGCCTTCCACGTGCACCAGGTCTGGTGGGGGGGGCCGGAAATAGGTGAGAGGAGGTGGGTACGAAGGAGCAGCAGAAAACGGACGAGAAGGGTTGAGACGCCATAGTAAGGGATAAGGGATGCGCAGAATGGGTACCTTTGACGAGGAAGGGTACACCCTCAAGAGGCCTCTCAGCAGCAGAAGCAGCAGCAGCAGCAGCAGAACCACCACTGTCAGCAGCTGACGTCCCTGACGCCCCTGTTCCTGGAGGTGTTTCTGAGTTTACTCCTACTAGAGCTACTACAGGTGTCGCAGGTAGCAGCCGTGGTGGAGTTGGAGTCGCGCGCGCGAGGTGGCAGACGGCGTTAATCTCCGGGTTCAGCTGCACGCACTTGCTCCGATAGTGCCGCTCTAGGGATTGCCGCGACAGCCGGCCCTGCCGCACCGCGGCCGCCATCGCTGCCACGCTGCCGTCCTGATGACGGCAATCACCCGGCGGCTGGCAATCAAACGGCCGGCAATCGGCACAGCTGCAATCATGGCTGCAGGCGCTGTGGTAACGGCTGCAGCACCCATGTGACGGGCTCGAATGGTTGCAACGGCTAGAATGGGAGGAACGGGTGGAGCGGTGCGGTAGTGGACGGCCGGCCATGGTGCATGGACATTGAATCGCGCTGAACGAGAGGAATGGGGGATTCGCGAGAGTGCGATGCGAGTCGCGCGATGCCTAACAGCGTAAGAAAAGAGCCAGTAGCCATATTGCTTGCATTGAGATTCAGATTGCTCGATGTAGAGGAATTCGTTTTTAAAAACGAACTTACAGAGATTCTGCTTAGTGCTTTTTTTTATTCCGTATAGAGAATGACCCATAAATATGAAAATGCAAAAGCTCACGGTCACGGCTGTTTCCACCGTTTCTACTGCACCCCTTTCCATCGCACAGCACCACCACGCATAGTCTAGCAATTGAACCTCGCTGTGCCCTGGCATCGCCCTTGAGCAGGCAATAGGCAATATTCAACCTCATCCTACTACAGTACTACTAGCGTGGATTGCGTGCGATTTCGAAATACTCCTTCGTTTTTCCTCCGCCTCTCTCCGGGTCCGGCCGTCGTGCGCGCCTCGCGTCAGCGCAACGGTCACGTCGATGGCGCTCCGTTGCGCAAGTCCTCTGCTCTCTACCATCCGCACCTCCACCACCCGCCATGTCGCCACTCAAACACAAGCTTCAGACTCGATTCAGAAACCCTCTCTTCATATAAACATCCCCGGCTCTTCCTCCCCCCAATTCGTGGTCCGCGCGGAACACTCCTTTCCATCCAAACCTTCTTCGGGGGAATTGATGCTGAGTGGCGATAGATGGTTCCGATTAGGGACGCCAGTCGACCGGTCCTTATTCGGAAGAAGCGGGAATCGCGTGGGTAGCGGGGGAAGCGGGGGGAGATGGCGCGAGGGCACGAGCAGGTGGGATGGGCTCCGCGCAGGCGCGAGCAGCGGTAACCCCGCCGCGAACGGCGGCGGAAATCCCGGAGGATACGCGTATGGATACAGCAACCGGCCGCCACCCAAGCCCACACCGACTTATGAAGAGTGAGTCCCGAGTCTCGACTGTGTAGGCAGCACGGAGAGTTTCGGCTGGGCGACGGAGGGGAAGAGAAGAGATGCGACGTAAGAGGTACGATGGAGGAGGTATGAGGTGGGATGTTGTATGATGCAGCTGGTGGGGTTGCTGCTGAGCCATATGGATGCAGCAATGTGGATGTGGCCTCTCGCCCTCCCTTGGAAGCAATGGACTGAGTTGCAGCAGCGCATGAGAGGTGTGATGAGCATGCCCGGAGACGAGTTTCACTTTGGCTGCCACCCAAAGAACCCCTTCCGCTCCCTCTCTGTCTCTCTCCCCCTCCCCCCTCAATCTTCCCCTCCCGCCACCACCCCCCTGCCCTCCCCCCGCCCCAATGGTCAGGCAGTTGGAGCAGCGAATGAGGGAGGTGATGAGCATGCCAGGGGACGTGGCAAGGCGGCTATGGCGGCTCATCACAGAACAGCCCGAGGAGTTCCGCCTCGTGCGCTTCCCCTCCTGGAAAGAGATGGTCAGTCCCTCACTCACTCACTCACAGCCAGGGACGTGTGTGCGGGAAGAAGTCATGTTCAAGGGATGTCTTTGGTCTTTCATGCTTGTTGCCGTGGCCTCGCTTTCTTCCAGGCGTGCATTGTTGCTTGCTCAATGCTCATCCACACTCCTTGGTTGTTTTTTTTCATCTTCCCTGCCGCTACTGCTCCACCTGTTATCACCACTAGTCCCAACCAGCCTCAATCCCTTTCTGGTGGCTTCCTTGTTTGGGGGTTCGTTGGGCGGCTACTAGGCATGACATCAGTATATTCTCACTGGCATTTTGTCTGACTCCTCACCCTGGTGCTGTCCTGCAGATCACAGTGACATTGCTCACATTCCTCTTTATTGTCGTCCTCATCATCTTCATCTCATCTGTTGACTCTGTGTTGGCACGGGTGCTCACACCCCGCTTCAAGCCTGCATAAGATCTAGTTTTGTTACCCTTAGCTCAGGTATACTGTAGATCACTGTTGCTGGGTTCATTCAGTTCTTTTACCCAATCTTGTATCACCGGAGGATAGGAAACCAGTGCTTAGAATCTGAGACACTCCAGAGTGGCAATATCATCCACTATCAGGACAAAAGCATAAGCTACACAATGGCCTGCCTATGTGTATGAGAGCAAGACAAGACAGGTGCAAGACAGGGCAGAGCATGGCCGGGCGAGGCAGGGCATAGTAGAGCCTGGGGGCAAGGGTCTAGCTAGACTCTAGAGTGGCAGGAGGAGCACAGGGCAGGGCACGAATTCGGCAAGCAGGTTGCTGTCAACGTGCTTGTGGTGAATGGCCTCCATGCTCATCACCACGAGGTCAAGACCCAGGTCGTCTGCAATTTCTCCCACCACTGCTGCCGGCATCTTGCCCTCTCCCAGTCGCTCCAGCAGCGAGAAGTCCGAGAAACCACCTGGCGGGGTCAAGGAAAGAGGAGATTTGACAGGGGCAGGTGAGAACGAAAACAACAAGGTAGGTGCGGTTTTTCTGAAAGGGCTTACGACAAGAAGAGGGAGGAGAGATAGAGAAGGAGGGGCCAAGTGGAGTTGGAGGAGAAAGGGCGGAAGGAGGTGGCTAACATGACGTGATGATTAGGTGAGAATACGGATGAAAAGACAGGGCAGGCCGCGGTAGGACACCACCTCAACCCTGCCTCGGGCTGGCAGAATCTTGGACAATTCAAGAGGCCTGCGCTATGCAAGGTCAGTTCGCACCGCAGCCGCATACACACAGTGCATACGCGGCTGCTATGGTGTCTACTAGCTACAATGCGCCTCTCCAGTAATAAACGTGCACTTGGACATGACAACCTGTATTGCTGTCTAAACCTGCCTGTGTCCTGCTTGTCCTGAACAAGTGCGTGCCATCCTGAACAGACTGTGCACCCGAAGCAACATCCGCATTGATGGCTTCGGTTTTCCCCCAGAACCATCGCACACAGACCGACTGCTGGTCCGGCTGCGCTGTTTCTGAGTCGACTCAAACGCAGACGCATTGATGGTTTTGGTTTTGGATTTTCCCCGGATCAGATCCATCGCATCGCACGCAGATCGACTGCTGGTCCGGCTGCGCTGCGCTGCGCACTGACCTTGCGCGAGGTGGAAGCGGATGCTCTCGAGGCGCTGATTGTGCTCGTCCTTGGTCTCCGACTGGTCCTCGTCGATCACTGCACCACACCACACCACACCACACCGCACCGCACCACACCGCACCGCACGAGCCAACGTCGAGATATAGCAAGCATGCAGGGTAAGGTGTCAGTGTCCGCACAACGCAAGTTATACGGACTGGCAGAAGAGCAGAAAGTTAACTGGTTCCGAAGGTGCGTCTGCAGCCATCGACGCACAAAAACTGCATACCCCTTTTCCAAAAATCCCCCTCCCTCACCCGCAACCGTCCCTCCTCGCAAAGTGAATATTGATTAGACGACGTACCGACGACGGTGATGTCGGCACTGCCTCTCTTGGCCATGGCGGTGGCCGTGGCGATAGCCTGATGATGCACGCACACACGCACGTGGAGGCGAACACGCGTATAAACGAGTTGAAATGGTTACGATGCGACGAACTGATCGAGATAAGCGGAGGGAGTAATCACAAAGTACAGCGACAGCGGATGGCATTTGCCGCCTTAAGCTCTGCGTGCAGTATTCAATTGGTATGAGTGCGTCAACAATGATACAGGCCACAATTACAACGTCGCTCTCGCTTTCTCCGTTGTTCAAACCTCCAAAAAAACTACGTAAATTTTTGTATCCCACTTTCAATCATCGATCTAAAACACCATCTCGGATAAAGCAGCACCCCCCCCCCTCCCCATTCCCTCGGCCCCTTCCCCCCCCCTACCCCCCCCCCCCCCCCCCCAAAAAAAACAAAAACAGTACCTGTCGTGTAGCTTCGTTCAGGAACGGATTGCGGTCCATGATGGGGAGAAGGAGGTGCTTGTACGCCAGCGGGTCTTCTGCCGTTGTTGGTACAGTCGCCGCGGCTGCCGCCGGTGCTGCGTCTCCAGCGGCTTCGCCTTCGGCTGCGCGAATGACCACGCGACCCCCTGCAAACGGAGGAGGCGAACGCAAATGGGAACGAAAATTCAGGCGGAAACAGAGGCGGAAACCGTATTGACGAAAAAGAAGGGTGAAAAGGCGCGATACATGCTGAAGGAGGCCAAAAATAAGTGGTCAGAAGTTTTCTGAAACAATGCTACTATAGCATGAAGCGGTAGAGACGGTATCAGAACAACGGGGAAAAAAAAGGCTTAGAGGAGAGGGGGGGGGGGGGGGGGAACGATGTACTTACTTTGCGAGGGCAGCCGAGTTGATGGTCGGCAGAGCTGCGAGAACGCATCGCATCCATGGCGGAGATATGTGTGTTTTGTGTTTCCTTGTCTGCGGACGGCCACAGATGCGGGACCAGCCGCCATAGAAGCGGCCAGGGGCACGGAGACACTGTACGCTAGAGCCTCCATGTTTTTTACAAGATAAGGCAACGCGCTTTCACAACAACACTTATCTAAGCTCGAACAATGTAAGACAAAATAAAATCTAGGCAAGCTTTAATCCGGTGAAGCCGAGATAAAATGCAGTTCTGAATCAGACAGAGTTGGTCGAGCAGCCTGGTAAGGAGCACCGGAACCTGAGAATTGAATGTAGAAGTATAAAATGGCTCTGGTTAGGGAATTTCTAGGAGAAATCTGGAATGGTCCAAAATGGTGGTGGTGACTGGTGCTGGAACAAGGGGAAGAAGCGCTGATAGAAGGTGCCAGAAACAGGTCAACGAAAACGAACGTATTTCTGTATGTTCGGTACGTTTTCGCCAGTAGACTCTCGCCTGAAATTTGGGTTCAGGCGAATATAGCCGAAATTGATGTTGGTGTGCGTTTCGCTGGTACACCCCCATTTCTCGGCAAGGTTATGGTTGGTTGCCTTGTTGGCAAAGTAGATGCGAGTGACGTGGGCCACCAAGCCGACCCAGCTGATCCGAAGGTTGGGATGATGTGGCTACCCAATAAGCAGGCAGCACGAGTGTGGCTATTAAGTGGCAGCTTGCCACGACATCGAAACTCCTAAAGGCACGGCTTATGATATCAGCAAGGGCAACTGCTTGTTTGAAACTATGCATAGCCCCTCATGCACTTGATCATACACAAACACTCATCAGACAGAAATGTACTTAGTTGTAATTGACATGCACAATGCATCACAACCACAATGAACTCATAATCAAACAACTCGATGTCATGAACCATATTCACCTCTACTAGCTTTCAAATTTCTGACGTACGCTTCCAGAATACCTTGTTTACATGTAACATGGCTATCAAACTTGATATTCAAGCCTACTACAAATAAACCCTTCAAGTCCTCTATACATGCCACTCTAACATACAATATATATGCCCTCCCTTTTCCCCCCAAATCACTGCCTACCCCCCTCTACCCCCTCTATCCAACCTGCCTCCTCACTCTACCCCCTTCTAACGTTCCCTACACCTCTGTGATCCCTTGTACCCCCTCTACCCCCCTCTACCCCAAACTTTCCCCCTCTAATTGCCCGTACCCCCCTCTACTGTCTCATATCCCTCCCTGATCTTTCTGCCTATTACCTTCCCCACTACATGTCGCCCAACCCTCTATACCCTTCTATAATCCCCTCTACTCACCCTCATATCCAGTTCTCTCCTCTACAAGCACGCCCCCATCTCTGCTTCTACCCTCCTATGTCGTCACCTACCTCTCTCTACCCCCCTCTACCCTCTCTACCCCCCTTAACCCTCACTACACCCCTATACCCCCCTCTACCCTCCTTTACCTCCCTCTACCCCCCTCTACCCTCCTTTACCTCCCTCTACCCCCTCTACCCCCCCCTACCCTCTCTACACCCCTCTACCCCCTCTACCCCTCTCTACCCCCCTCTACCCCCCTCTACCCCTCTAGATCTACCCCTCTCGACCCCTCTCTACCCCTCTCGACCCTACTCTACCCTCTCGACCCCCCTCTAACCCCCACTACCCACCCCCTCCTACCTTCCCACACCTTCCTCCACCCCCCTCCACCCCCCTCCACACCCCGCTACAACACCCGTCCCTCCCTGTCCCTCCCCGTCCCTCCATGCCCTTCCCGTCCCTCCCTGTCCCTCCCTGGCCCACCCCACTCACCCACCTTCATAACAACTAACCCGCCAACTCAATACCCTGTCTTCCCAAACCCTCCTGCCATACCCAAGCCTAAACTGGTTTCACAGCAGCTGCCTCAGCTGCTCCCATTCACACCACACTCTCTACTGTTACCCCCACGAACCGACACATCTGCGTGTTGTTGTCACTGCTGTTGCCACCGCTGCCGCCGCCGCCGCCGCTGCCGCCGCCGCTGTTACTTCCATAACTGTCGTTACTGTCATTTCTGTCGTTGCTGTTGTTGCTGTTGTTACTCTCGTTGCTTGACCTGAGCATGCTGTCATCACTGGTACGCAGAATACTGCCCAGCTCACTACCAGCCAGAGAGGACCCTTCGCTTGGGGAAGAGGAGCAGGAGACAGGGGAGGAGAAGAGCATCGAGGACGAGGCGGAGGAGGGAGAGGTGTGAGAGGTGTGAGAGGTGTGAGAGGTGTGAGAGGTGTGAGAGGTGTGAGAGGTGTGAGAGGTGTGCTCACTCTTCCGGTGGTGAGACAGCGAGATGAGAGGAGGCGAGGACGAGAGGGTGAGAGGAGGGGTGGTGGGATCAGGAGAGTTGGATTCAGAGGAAAGGAAGCTGGGAGAAGGGGAGGGAGAAGAGGAGGGGTGGGCGGCGAGAGAGAGAGGTGAATCAGCAGCAGCACAGCAAGTGGACACCCGAGGGGAAAAAACTTGCTGCTGCTGCTGCTGCTGCTGCTGCCGCCGCTGCTGCTGCTGCAGTACCCCACCCACCATCCGGGATTCACAAGCAGACCACGGCACCACCTGCCACGCTCCCTCCTCCTCTGGCATCCTCTGCGTCTGAGACGTCTCAAAGGTTGTCAGTTCCCCGTGCATTCTTCCCCTCCACGACCCAGCTTCTCTGTTGCATCCTCTTCCCCCAGCACTGTCCGACAGCCCAGCAGGAGTTTCACCATCTTCATGCAACAACGGCCGCCATCTTCCCCCGTCCTCACTCCTCCTCCTACCCTGCTCCCGCCCTCTGCCACCACCACCACCGCCGCCACCACCACCTGAAGCAGCAAGGCTGGCATGCCGTTCGTTTCCAACTCGGTTCCAGTAGCCTTCAGCGCCCGTGCTTCTCCTGCTTCCCCTGCTGCTCTGCCTGCCGCTGCTGTTGCTGCTGCCGCTGCTGCCGCTGCTGCAGCTGCTTTGAAGGGTAGAATCGGCACTTGAAGACTGGGAGCCAAGAGACGAAGGAGGCAGAGCGAGAAGAGGAGGAGGAAGGGGTGGCAATGGCTGGGTCAGCCCACGTGAAGACCACTCCCCTCGCTGCCATTCCCCATTCCCTCCCCTGCCCCTGCCCCATCCCCATCCCCAACCATTACCCCTTCCTCTCCCACCCCCTCTGTCACTCCTCTCTCCCCTCTCACCCCTCCCCCGACCCTTCACCCACCTCCCAGAGCCAGCAGCAGCATGCCTCCTCACTGCCCCACTCCCTCCCAGGGAACAACCCTCTCTTGCCTCCCCACGCCCTCCTCCTCCCCTCCATCCTCTCCCTCGCATCCATACTTGTTCTCCCCTCCCACCTGTCCTACCACCTCCACCTCCCTCTCCTCCCTTTTCTTGAGTTCCACTGCCCAGCCAACCCAGGCCATGCGTGCAAGCCATGCCAGGCATGCACTCCTCATCCCCCATTCTCCCATCACCCATTCTCCCATCCCCCATTCTCCCATCCCCCATTCTCCCATCCCCCATTCTCCCATCCCCCGCCCTCCCTTCCACCACCTTCCCCTCGCCTGTCTTCCCCTTCCCCCATTCGCCACCTTCTCCTTTCTCCTTCCCATCGCACTCGACCACTCCGTCATCATAACTCGTCCCACCCTCTTCATCTACCTTCTCCTCGCCCTCCTCCATTTCCGTCCCTTCCAAACCTCCCTCTTGCACCTTCCCCTCCTCCTCCAGTCCTCCCTCTTCTATCACCCTCTCCTCGCTCCCCATCGCCCTCTCACCCCGCTCGGTCCTACCCACTCCGGCTGCCACAGCTTCAAACAACTCAAGAGTCGCCAACTTTTGTTGCGCTGCTCTTGCCTCCTCACTCGCTTCCTCACTCCCTTCCTCTCTCCCTTCCACACTCCCTTTATCACTCCCTTTCTCATCCTCACTTCCTCCCTCACTACCTTTCTCACTCCCTTCATTAGCCCACACAACCCCCTTCCCTCCGCGCTTCTCCCCATCACCCTCGTCCAGCGCACCGCTGGTGCAGCTCATGCCACGAGCACTCTCACTCCTCTCCCCACGACCTCTCACTTCCTCACCCGCTGATTCATCATCCGCCATCTCTTCACCCCTCACCGGCTCGTCTTCGAGCCCTTGGCTGTGTTCGCTCTCCTTATCCCCACTGGAAATGCAACCCTCTTCCTCCTCCTGCTGCTGCTGTTTCACCCCAGGCTCCTCGTGCCCTTCCCCTTTCATCTCCCCTTCTTTTCCTCCCATGATTCCTTCTTCCCCTCTTCCTTCTTCCGCTCTCCCTTCTTCCCCACCATACCGTCGAATCATGGCCATCAGTCGCCCCCTCATCGCTTCCCTCTCCCTCACCACACCCACCAGTTTCGCCGACACAGCACCCACCACGCCACGTGCGCACGCCAGGTCATCCTCCAGCGCATGCCGCTCCGATTCCAGCTCAGCAACGGCCCGGTCCAGCTCAGCAATCCTCGCATACGCCGCCACCAGCTGCACCTGCAGGGAGACCACTTCCCTTCCCACCAGCGCCAGCTCCTGAATCCTCCTCTGCGCCTCTTCCAGGCTGGCACGCAGCTGACGTGTCGTCTCCCGCCACGTGTCAAGCTCCAGGCCCATCGCCGCCATGCGTATGTTGACACTCTCGACCAATTGGCGCGCTTCTTTCTCTTCTTGCTGCTTCTGTGTCCTTGCCTTCACTGCATCCGTCTCTTCCTTGACATTGGCCTTTCCCACTGCCCCCTCCTCCCTCTCCTCCCTCTCCTCCGCTCCCTCCTCTGCTCTCTCCTCCTCGCTCTCCTCCTCTTCCTTCTCTCCTCGCTCCACCACTTTTTCTGTTCCATCTTCCTCCTTAGTAGGAGATATTGGAGGACCCATGGAAATTCCAGGCGCCTCCCTTCTTTTTGAGAGCGTCGCCCTTTCCAGCTCAGCTCTCAGCCTCTCCGCCACGTGTCGCCACCGCGTTGCATCCGCGACCAGCTCAGCATTCACAGCTTCCAGCTCAGCAATCCTCCGATTGGCCACATCCAGCTTCGACTGGATCTCCTCTCGGATCTGCACGCCACGTGCCAGCTGCTCCACCATCTCCTCCACGGCTGCCAGGTCAGCATCCACGTCAGCGTCCGCGTCAGCAGCATTCTCCACCCGTGTCATCTCGATGACGTGGCGTGTCATCTGCACCTCGCGTACGAGCGAGTTGACACGCTGCTGGGCCTCGGAGAGCGAGAGCTGCAGCCTGGCAACTTGTGCTGCCTGTGCTGCGCCCGCTGCCCCTGATAATTCCGCTGCTTCCGCTGATTCCGCTGCTTCCGCCGCTTCCGCCACTGCCAGCGACAATGGCAGGGATACTGCCGACTCGCTATCCCCACACCCCGTACTTCCCTCACCCCCCCCGCCCCCCATGTTCTTCACGGCAACCGTGTTGCTTTGTTCAGTAATTCCCTCCACCTCCGCCTCTTCCTCCCCCTCCGTCTCTCCTTCACATTCGCTGTTCGATTCGTCATCTGACGAGTCGAATTCATCTCTGCCCGTCCGCGCGTGGCGCCCCTTGTCTTGCCTCCGCAAATCTCCGCCGTCCGTTCGACGCAGGCGAGATGCCTGCCGCCGCCGAACCCGGCTGGTGCCCGCTCTCCGACCGCCTTCCCGCGTCTTCCGCGTCCCCCGCACGCGCTTCGGCCGAATGCCGCACAAGGCGCGCAGCAGCTCCTGCGGCAGCGCGGGACACGTGGCACACAGCGCGCGACACGTGGCACACAACGCAGGATGAACCACGGGAGAGCAAGGGTCATCAGAATTGGAGGGCAACGATCACTTGTTCCAAATCAGATCTTTAACCGAAATAGACGAGCCAATACAAGGAAAGAGGCCAACGGCAAAGAGCAAAGACGCGAAACGGGGGGGGCGTGGGAGGCAGAGATGGAAGATAGGTGGGGCAGAGAAAAGGGAGAGGAGAGGAGAGAGGGAGGAGAGAGGGGTTAGAAGGGAAGGCGAGAGGGAAGTATTTCCCAGTTTAGTTAACTCACAAAGCCAAAGCAGGGAAGCTGGTTGGCGTCACACTCCTCCTCTGCCACGCGCGGCGCCTGACAGCTCACAGCCTTGCGCAGCAGCAGCAGCCGCAGCACCGCCATCCTCGCTACACCGTGCCTCGCTACTAGCACCGAAGCAACCCCTCTGGCAGCCACGGCAGCGTTTCGCACCGTCAGCGCGAGCGTGTCCGCCTCCGCCGAAGGAGGCGGGAGGTGGGCCGAAGGGCGCGTTAGAAGGGCTGGAACAGCCTGTTCCCGCTCGCTCGACGCGCACGATGCGCACGGCTCGACCGTCGCCCCTTCACCCCGAGGGACAGAGATTTGGGTCGTCACCGCTTCTGCCGCTGGATCCGCACCGACGAGTGCCGCCGTTCTCGCCACCTGTCCCGCCGCCGGTTCCGCCGCCATCGTTGCGGGTTGCTCTCCAGAGCTCCTTTCTTCAATATCGGCTGGTGCATTGTTGTCGTGTGGTCTCTTCGGGTGGCTGCGCGCTGAATCGGTAGCAGCAGCTTGTTGCTGACTTGTCGCTGCGGGGTCAACGAGTTGTTGATCCGCCGTCGTCGCAATCGTTGCCATCGTCGCAATCGTCGCCATCGTCGTCGCCGTCGTCGACCGTATTGACAATCCGTTCTCGCACTTGTCACCATCGTGTCCGCAAGCGACGTCGGCCGATGGCACGACGGCATCAGAACAATCCGCCTCGCCGTCAGCTGAAGTACTCAAGACGTCTCGCCGGCTGCTGCTCAATGCGTTATCGCCATCAATTCGTCCGTCGCGGCTGTCCTCCTTGGCACAAATGCGGCAATCCGAGAACGAGTGGTTATCGGGCGAGCGGCATTCGCGATTTTGACCGTTGGTATTGAGCGGTATAAAAGAAGGAAGAACGGAAGCTGGCGCATCGGCAGGAGGGGGAGGAGGAGGAGGAGGAGGAAGAGGAGGAGGAGGAGGAGGAGGAGGAGGAGGAGGTCGAGAAGGAGCAAGAGGAGCAGGAGGAGCGGGAGGGGCGAGAAGAGCAGGAGGAGCAGGAGGAGGAGCAGCATCAAGAGCTCTTGCTAGTGCGGCGGTTGCCACGGAAGCAAGCGGAGCGCCAGTTGGTAACGAACTACGATTGCTCGTCGCCGGCGACACGTCAAGTTCCGAATGATTGATGCAAGGCGCGCCTCCTCGCCGCTCGTTGTGCCGCGACGAAGCAGCCCGCACGATGCGACTGTCCGAATCCGCAAGGGTGACGCCGGAACCAGCAGCAGCAGCAGCAGAAGAAGGGAAATTCTCGATGGGTGCGGTTGAAGCATCAGTCAGTGACGCCGAGGTTGACGGACGGGTCGTCGCACGCGTGCCTGAAATCGCGCCTCTTGCAGCCTTGGCGGCCCGGCCAACGTTTCGTAGAAGCTTACGTGCGAGATGGTGAAACTGATGGGCAAGGCTTCGACGCTCCTGTACCTTCAAGCTGGTGCTCATCTCGCGCGCGTCATTCCGCGTCTCTCCTTTTTCCTCCGCAGGGGCAGGTCGCGGGCCCCTGCTTCTATATATGCGGCTATCTGTTTGGCCGTCCCTCATTGTGCGCTCCCAAAACTCGAGTTCATCGCATGGAGAATGGAAGGAATACTGTCTCCTCTAGGATTTCTTACTCTCTGTCTCCAATCCGTAAAGTCTGCTTCCCGAGCTTGTTTCTGAATGCAACGATGCTTCGGATTCTGGGATTTCAATGTCGACGTCTGTTTTGATGGAAATATGAAGGATGACGAGGGAGGGGCGAATTCTCTCGTTCGTTCATTCATCAATTTCAGAATTTCCGCACCGCGTCTTCACCTGGAATGCCTTGACTCGCTCGTCATTGGCTAGCTTACCATGACCAATATATTTTCCGAAGCGCACTGCCCGAAACCTGTGGCAGCAGCAAGCAGTGGGTTTGGCAGGCGCAGACGGTGCGGGCTCTGCGGTTACGATGCGCTGACCATGTGACGAAGACGTGAATAGGAGGCAGGTAGGATTTGGCATTTGTGGCTGGGAGGGCGAATATGGACGTGGCATGAGCCTGTGAGTGGCGCAGGGCCAAAGTTCTGAGCAGAATTTGGGGGAACATAGGGCTCGAAAACGCATTCCCGCCAGGTGAAACCTCGAGCGAGTCGAGGATCTGGGCGGCCTGGCAAATCTGGAGTTGCTGATGCGTCTCGGTTGGAGGTCCGGGAATCCGGTTCCAGGACCCAGGTACATGGTGAACGTTGTCAGTCCAGAAATTTCAGAGCCACTCGATTGACTGGACGAAAATCGTTCGCGTTACAGACTTCGGCTACATAAAACTTAGACACTGACGAATGATACAGAGAGAATACTTCAGGACAAAAGGTATTTCTTATCTAATACAAGGAAACATACAATGACTTGGATAGTCTGATATCCCTTTTTGTATTTGCTTACGAGTGGCTCACAGTCGAGGATTTCTGAAACACACCATCATTTCCATATCATCTTTCATGTCAAACTCATAGGCTAGTTGCACTGCATAGGCTCAGTCGCGGGATCCCAGACCCTCCCAGATTGGCCTCCGCTTGCCTCCATCCCCGCGACTTACGGGGCAAGAAGCGCAGATTCGCGCGATTTCTGTCCTTCGGGTCAGTGGTCGTTGCGATGGTCGCGCGTCGCGCGGATTCCACGCTCCTCCGCCTCGCCGCGGCGCTACAGCTTCGCCTGCTGCCGCGCGCGCAGCGACCGTTGCCCGTCCCGCTCACATGTAGTACATTAGACCTTACCCTCACCCCACGCGATACTCTCTCCGATCCGCTGACCGCTCCTCCGTTCCCCAGTCCGCGCGACAATCTTTCCGCTCCGCTTAAAGCTTCACCGCTACCATGTTATCGCGGGAGGCTCTTCAGCAACAGCAGCGGTGGCGGCGGCGCCGGCGGTGGCGGCGGGAACGGGAGAGACAACAATGGCTGCGGACAAGAACAGCGACAGCAACAGCAGCAGCAGCAACAGCAGCAGCAGCAGCAGCGGGAGCAGCAGCGGGAGCAGGAGCGCGAGGCGCAAGGGCAAGCGCGAGAGTGGACTTTGAAAGACGCGCTGCGGCAGCTGTACAAGCGAGTTCATCCGGATACTCTCCACAACCACCCGCACGAACGAGTGAGCCTGCCTGTGTATCATTACACCCACGCCACGTGGCGGTGTTTGCCGCTGCGCATTCCGCCTCTCCCTTTCACGCCTGCTACTCCTGCTGCCACCCTTGTTTCTCCCACCCTTGTTGCTGCGACGCCTGCTGTTGCAACCACCATCTCAAGCAACCGCTCCCCTTTTCTCCCCCTCCTCTCCTCCTCCCCCTTCCGCCTCTACTCCACTTCGGGCAGCCAACGCGCGGTCGTTTCAGCTGCTGCAGGAAGTCAACGCGCCTAGCAGCGTCGCGCATCCCCTACCTCTTCCCTTATGGCGTCTCAACAGTTCCCTTCCCTTCCCTCCCTCGTCCCTCCCTTCCTCACCCCCTCTCCCTCCGTTCCCCCTCCCTCGTCCCCAACCTCAAGCAGCCAACGAGCGGTCGTTTCCGCTGCTGCAGGAGTACCTGGCAGCGGCGCACATCACATTTAAGGCGTCTCAACGGTTCTGTTCCCTCCCTCTTCCCTCGCTTCCTCCCCCCCTCTCCCTCCGTTCCTCCTCCCTCCTCCCCAACCTCAGGCAGCAAACGAGCGGTCGTTTCAGCTGCTGCAGGAGTACCTGGCAGCGGCGCACATGAAAGGGGCGGGTAGCAGGGCCAGCGGCATGGGTGCTGCAGCAGCAGCAGCATCGGGGTCGCGCCGGTCGTATGAATTCGAGTTCTTCATTCGGGAAGAAATCAGCAGCAGCAGCAGCAGCACTGCTAGCAGCACTAGCAGCACTAGCAGCAGCGGCACGGTTCTGTTCCGCCACGTCACCATGGCCCTGCCTCCCCCGCAGCGCCCGCGTGTGGTGGGCGGGTCCATCCCTCTGCGCACGCGCATGGCTCTCTCTCAACTCCTAGACGCCTGCGGCCTCCCCCCCCACCTCTCCAACGCCCTCGCCTCTGCCACTGCTGGTTTTGCTGGTGCTGGTGCTTCTGAAGGTGGTGGCATGGGAGGGGAGGGTGTGCGGCTGTCTGAATTGCTTGTAGAAGCGGCTGAGATTCAGAGGCAGTGCGAGGCTGGGTGGACGGATGGGGCTTGGAATGGGGGCACCAGCGGCGGTGGCAGCGGCGGCAGCGGCAGCAGTGGCAGCAGCACTGCGAGCAGCTTGGTTCGCGATCGGGCGATGATGGTGCATGTGCTGCGAATGGTGCGAGGGGTCACTGTTCACATCCAACCACCAGCATCCCTATCATCATCATCAGCAGCAGCAGCAGCAGCCGCCGCCGCAGGAGCAGCAGGTTCAGGTTCCGCGTCCATATCTTCCCTATCCTCCTCATACGCACACAATCAACAACACCAAGAGGTGCTGTTGCTAGAGCAGCTGATCAAGGCTCTCGATCGCAATCCAGACACGGACCTGTCGGGGAGCCAAGTCGTGATCGGCAGCGGCGGTGGCGGGTACGGTATCGATTCTCAAGGCCGCGTGTGGTTGCCTCAGGGCGACGACTTGAGCGCATGGGGGGACTGGCTAGCCGGGGTAGACACCAGCGTGGTGCAGAGGAGGCGGGCACGAGCGCGGGAACGGCGTGCAAAGGAGAGGGCGGCGGCGTGTGGGATGGAGGTCGAGATGGTTTTCACTGACGCGGGAACGGCAGGGTTGCTGGTGTATGAGGGGTTTTTAGAGCGCGTGATTGGGCATGCGGAGGAGCATGGTGCCGTGTGCGACGGCCGGCTTTTCGAGCTGCCCGTTCGCGTTCTCGGGCAGGCGGAGGGCCGGATTGGTGGAGGGGGAGGAGGTTGGGGAGAGGGAGGCGGAGGAGAGGGAGGAGGAGGCGGGGATTGGCTTGTGGATGGAGGGCGGCTACCTACCTGGAGTGGAGACCGGTTTCTGCATCAGCATCAGACCTTCTCAGCTTCCTTCTCCTCTTCCTCCTCCGCCTCCTCCTCCTCCTCCTTGTCTGCGTCTTCCCCTTCTGCTCTCCGCCCTGCGGATTTCTCCATCGACCGACGCTTCGGCTATGCAGCAGTGCCGGTCACAGCAACACCCACGCAGCTCTACACCTTCCTATCACAGGCAGGAGCAGACGCCATGGCTATCCGACGGCTTGCGAGAGACGAGGAGCAGAGGTTAGACCGGCTGAGAACGGAGGTGCGGCAGCGGCTGCGGCTGCGGCGGCTGGTGGTGGATGAGGGGAGGATCACGAGGGATCAGGGGGCCTCGGGACTGCTGCGCCTGCTCCGGTTTGCGCCGCAGCTGATGCAGCTTACGGAAGGGCTGTCTCTGTGCGTGTCTAACGCCCACCGCCTGCCCATGCCACAGGGAGTGTATGATGCGGGTGCGGGTTCGGCGTTGAATCTGGGTGGTGGTGGTGGTGGTGGTGGTGGTAGGGCGGGTAGCGCAGGTGAGGGTGGGCGTGCAGGTGGTGAGGGTGGTGTTGCTGGTGCGGGTGGGAGGAGGGGTGGGAGCAGGGGGGAGCAGGAGTGGGAGAGCAGCAGTGTTCCGTTTGTGCACGTGAAATGGAACTTCAGCGTTAGTGAGCTGTAGCTGAGGAGTGATCGGGACGGTTCTGGGGGGTCAGGTGTGGGTGAGGTTGAGGGTGGGGGTGAGGTTGAGGGTGGGGGTGTGGTTGAGGGTGGGGGTGAGGTTGAGGGTGGGGGTGAGGTTGAGGGTGGGGGTGAGGTTGAGGGTGTGGGTGTGGTTGAGGGTGTGGGTGAGGTTGTGCCGGGCTTGGATGGTGGCAGAGGGGAGAGAGGGCGTAGGAGGGAAAATGTGGTTTGCCAGGAAGCTAATAAAGGAGCGAGTATGGAGGAAATGGTTCTTGAAAAGTGTTAGAAAACCAAGTTGAATGCGAGGGGCTGGGGTGGTGGTTCTACATGTTTGGCGGGGTTGGGTAGGTTGGGTTGGGTTGGGTTGGGGTGGGTTGGGTTGGGTTGGGTGTAGTGGTCGGAGAAAGTGGAAGCTTTGACGAGTATGGTGTGCAAGTCTCCTTATCATAGAAGCACAAACTATACAAAAACAATGTTATATACAGTAGGATAAGTACAAGAGGGGAGAAGCATACAATAGGCTATGTAATTTATATTGGATCAGAATTTAGAGGTGTAGATCCAGATCCAGTGAGCATGCAACAGCATGACCGCTTCTATTATGTGCCCAGATGCTCCGATTTGATTCTCCATGTCCTCCCATCCACTCATAGAACTGTTCCTCCTTTCCGCACCCAGCAGCAGCAGCAGGAGCTGCATCAACAGCAGCAGCGGTGGCAGCGGCAGCAGCGGCGGCGGCAGCAGCTGAGGCGATCTTTCCAGCACACATCATCCTTAGCTCCGTATCGCAACCCACGCTTCCTCCACCTCCGCATACCCCCTCTCCTCCTGCTGTCTCCGCAGCAGCAGCAACAATGCCAGCAACAGCGTGAGCAGCGGCAGTGGTAACAAATTCAATAACTGCGCTTTTGGTGACAGCAGGTGCGGTAACAGCAGGTGCACTAACAGCAGGTGTGGTGAGAGTGGGAGTGGAGGAGAAAGTGGGTGTCTGCAGCGGTTGTGTGTCAGACGCAAGGGAGGAACGGATTCTTGCGGCTGTGGTGGTGGCACTGCTGGTAACCGTACTCCTTGTAACATTTCCGCTGGTAACCTTACTGCTGCTGGTAACCTTGTTGCTGCTGGTGGGGTTTGTGGGAAGCGATCGCTGTGGGCTGAGTCTGGAGCAGGTTAGTGCCGAGAGCGGCATTCGCAGCAAGTGCAAGCTGCCACCACCGCCACCAACACCAACACCACCACCACCACCGACAACACCAGCAACATCGCCATCACAACACGGCACTGCATCCACTGGCGTTGCCATTTTCTCAGGGGTAGGGGCAGCAGCAGGTTCGTGGTCTGCGTGGCGAGGAGTGGAGAGCAAGAGGCGAGAGAGGAGGGAGGAGCATTCTGTAGCCTCAGCCTTGATCTCTGCCTCTCCTCGTCCTCGTGCTCCCGCCGACTCTGTTACAGCGGCGTCCGTAGAAGCACCGTACAGAGAAGCAGCAGCATCAGCAGGACCTTCAGGAGTAGCAGCAGCATCACCAGCAGCAGCAGCATCACCAACAGCAGCAGCAGCAGCAGCAGCAGCTGTAGCGACATCAGGAGAAGCAGCAGCAACAGAGTCAGCTGCAGCAGCAGCGGTGTCAGAGAGAGCATCCATCATCAGGATATCATCGGCAGCAGCAGCAGCGGCAGACAGGATGGAGGCGGTGGTGGGAAGGGACGTCCACCTGCGAAGGGGGCTCAACCCCTGCAGCACGTGCGCCGGAATGGCAGCAGGGATGGCACAAGGAACGGCAGAAGGAACGGCAGAAGGAACGGCAGAAGGAACGGCAGAAGGAACGGCAGAAGGAACGGCAGAAGGAACGGCACCAGCAGGAACGGAAGCAAGGTCGGCACCAGCAATAATGGCAGCAGGAAAAGCAGGAGTAGAGTCGGACCCAGTCCCGATGCCTGCAGCCATAGCAGCAGCTGCCAGTTCTCCCAGCAGCGAGTGCTGCCGCCGCCGCCTCGTCTTCTTGCTGAGGCCCGTCGGGCCGTCGCTGGCAACAGCAGCAGCGGTAGCAGCAGCAGTGGTGGCGGCGGCGGCAGCGGCGGCGGAGGAGGGAGAGCAGCGGGCAGCAAGGTCCGTTCCACCGGAGGAGGGAGAGCCGGAGCCGCGCTGCTTCTTTGCAGGTGACAGCAATGCCCGGGACAGCATCGCGCTGTCGTCCCCCTCCTTGCCCGCCCGCGCCGCCCGCAAGGCTGCCTGCAGCGAGTCGGGCGGCAGACTGAGCGTGCGCCGCGATGCGAGCAGATCGCTAGGCAGCACGAGAGCTGGAGGAACTGGGACCGTATTGCGGTTACCAGCACCATGAGGGTAATTCGGAGAAGCCATTGCCTGTGCCATATGTGTCATCTGCGTCATCTGCGTCATCTCTGGCATCTTCCCCATATGAGCCATTTGTGCCAGTTGCGCCATTTGCGCCATCTCCAGCAATTCTGCCGTCAAGCTCGTTCGCCCAGCAGGCAGCGATGACCATCGCTGCAGGCCCCCACCGCCGCCACCTCCTCCGCCTCCGCCACTGGCCCCGTCGCCTCTGCCCACACGGCCCCGGGATCCACCGGTGCGGCCCAGGGTTTGAAAAACCATGTGGCGCGGCAAGCCCGTGAGGTGATACGCACTGGCCTTGGCGGTAGTAGAGCCTGACAGAGGCAGTTGCTGCGGCGCTGGCAGCGCCTGCGCCTGCGCCTGCGCCGTCATTGTATCGACTCCTTGGCCGGTTGTAGCAGCGGTAGTGGCAGCAGCAGCAGTAGCAGCAGCAGCAGCAGTTGTAGCAGGCTGTAGCGCAAACGCCCTCAGTTCTTCCTCCTTCAACGAGAACTCCTCCCCCGCTTCTCCTGCCGTGGGCCGGCCGCGTTGCCCTCGCTGTCGCTCCCCTTCCCGCTGCAGTCGCGCCAGCAGGTCTCGCTCAGCCTGCCTCGCCATTCGCAGCTTTATCATCCGCCGCCGCTGCTGCTGCGCGGCCTGACCCGCCGTGAGAGCCGCCCCCGCCGCCGCCGCCGCCGCCGTCGCCGACGCGGGCGCTGACGTTGCCGCCGGGGATGGCGATGGCGATGGAACGGATTGGCCGCCTCCTCCGTTTCGCATCCACGGAGCAGTCAGTAGCTTCTCCCAGCAAGGAGCTGATGCCACGGCGGCAGCAGCAGCCACGTCAGCCGACGAGCACATCCTACCAGCGGCCGCCAAGTGGCTCAATCCATGATAGTGACTCATTATCACGTGATGCCGACTCGGACTTCCCGCCATCGCCGCCGCCGCAGAGGCAGCGCCACTGATTCGCGTCGATAACGAGCCGCCGCCGGCCGCTCCGCCGCTTTGAGAACGGCTCGGCGCGCTGCTCCCGCTAGCTCCGCTGGTGCTGACCGATTTAGCCGCAGCGACCCCGCCGCCGGTGCCGCCGCAGCCGGCGGCGCCTCGAGGAGCCGCATGACTGTAAGGAGGGTATTCGAGACTCTGGTTCAACTCCGCAACAACCTCGTCCAAGCCTTTCCGCTTCTGGTCATTTCTGGATTTTTCGGAGACTGCCAGCCGCGAGAATCCCGGCGCTGGCGCAGCGGGGGCGACCGCGGCATCTCTCGCGGCGGGATGGACGCCGCGACGGGCGCCGGCGGACGGGTTCCCGCAACCGTCGTCGCTGTTGCCGCTGCCGCTGCTTCTCCTGCTGTCGGATGAGCTAGAAGACGTCGCGCCGTCAATGTTGGGGCGACGCGGCAGCATGGAATGATGGTGACGCGGCGGCGGTGATTGGAATATCATGTCGCCGGGGCTCGAAGGCGACACGTTCACATCGTTGTCACCGCCGGCGCTGCGCGCGGTGTCGTCTTGAAAGGCGGCTTCTAGCTGCGTAATCCATGGAGGAAGCCGACTCGAAGTTGCCGCCGCCGCGGCGCCGGGCACGGCGCCGCCGCCCGTCGCGGGTGATAACTTCAAGTTCGCGAATGCTGCTGGCGGAAGAAACGCCGGCGGCGGCCCGCCACCGACGGTGCTGGCAATCGCGCTTGCGATGATGAAATCGCGCGGTGGCAGAGGAAGGCACGACGCGGCGTCTGGTTGCGTGTGCGATGCGAGAGCTAAGGCCTGGAGGTGAGGCGGATAGTGACTTAAACGGTGCTGGTGCTGAGAGTGGAGCGATCGGCGTGCGGCGAGGAAAGGGTGTGATGCTGGTTTCGAGACGAGAGAGTCTGATGCTCTTGACTTGGCCATGCTTTTTTAGGTGTTGTGAGAATGGACTAGGTTTGAACGCTTGAGTTTAAAGGCTGGTTGCCGGAAGTTAACAAAAGGACTGCTCTAATTTCTTGCTCAGTAGTCAGGAGGAACACGAGTAGATAGCTGCATTGGACGTCCGACATGGAAGGCTGGAGCCAAGAGGCTGATTTTCTGGTTTTTCATTTCGTCCACCGTCTTGCTTTCAGGCATCGAGTTTGTTTCTGATGTAATTGCGGCTCGATGCAATTGCATATTCGCAGACGCGCAGAATTGAATAGTGAAGGAAGACTGCTGGAAGGTGAGATAGTGCCACTGGCAGGCAGGCTGATGTACACGTGTACACGACACAGACCAGCGTTTCTGACGACAGGTCAGGCAGGAGGAGCCCACAGAAGATGGTTGGTTGGAAGCGCTGCCGAACTGATTACATCACGTGACCGGTCACAAAACAAAGGGGGCAACCCTGTGAAGTGCGTTTGTGATGTGATGAGGCGATTTTTTTCCCGTTCTGGTAATCTCGGTTGGGAATTATGACTAGTACAAAATTGGCATCAATGACCCTAAATCCTTTGAAAATGTGATCCATCGTCTCTTCCGATACACATTGGGCAGTCACACTAACGGATAAAATTTGACGGATAACATAGAAAACACTGTACATTGTTTTTTCTCTGGTCCCCTCCCAGTCCCGATTTGAAGTCCTTTTTATGAGGACCTTTCCCCGTGCGTGACCCGACCTGACCTGAATCCCACCCGACCGATCCGAACCTTAGGTTTCGTTAGTCGGTGCCTCTGGGAAGACATCATCGCATCAAATCAATGTGGCGACCCGTGGACCTCGAACTGAATCGTTGAGAATGGTCACGCACGCGCCAGCTGGACACCACGAGAGGCACGGGACAACTTGAACAGACCGATAGAAGTACCGCCGTTCTGTACTCGATACACCTGATCACGAGGGCATGAGTGGTTGATGTGTGAATTTATGGGGGCAGAATGAGCTGTACACAGTCTAGTAACAATGGTGATTCAGGGGGTGATAGAATCTGACTGTTCAAGCGTGATGGAAGTTACAGTTTAGAGGACGTTCTGCTACGACGACGGTGCAGCTGGAATTGCATAAACACAACACCTTTGCAGTGGTTTTCCTACCAGTGAAGAAAACCCGCGGCCGATTCAGCAGTTGGGTTTCACGTTGACCCATCCAGTGCATTCATTCACCAAGCCGCGTCGGACACTTCCACCGCAATACTTGTGGCACCAGCTCACTGACATGTCAGGGGATGGTGTGTACCCACTGGTTTCGAGCTGGTGTAGAGTTTGAGGAGGAGCGAGATTTCAAGGGTTCTGCCACGACTTCCGCTCACCGACGTGGTTTGGGTACGGTACGGTGGGGTGCTACCGCTGTACAGTGCCTGGGGCCAACGAACGACCAGTGGTTCTTGGCTTGACCCGTACGGGCTCATAGCAGTGTACACCCTTTTCTCGTTACGGCCAACTAGTGACTAGAGGTATTCGCTTTAAGCCATCTCATCAGGCACAGTTTAGTCATCTTGCAGCACAATTCTAAATGTGGCCATTTGAGTAATAATGGTGAGACATAGAGATATCCACAGAAGTCCATTCCATTGTTCCACTGTCCACTCCCCCAGCCTGAAGCAACAGTTTGCCTTACACTCACCTCAACCCATTCCATCCCAAACCATGACGTGTATCGTGAACTCCTGTCCAACCAAGTTCACACCAAGCCTTCTCCGACCCATGGGGAAAAATAAAACTCCTAGTCACACCACAACTTACGATGAGTGCTAGGCGCAAGTCTGCCCTAGCCGCCTACCCATTCACCCCCACTCTCCTCGCATTTCCCCCCCTTGCGTGCTCCCATCCGCTTCACGTCCACCACCCCCATCATACCATCCACTCCCTAACCCAATCTCCCAACCTGCAATACCCACTGGACTTCACTGCCTTTACTCTGTTCATGTTGCCGCCGGTAATCTCTTCCCGCGGCCCATGGCAAACCCCTTGGTTCCATCCGGCATGCGGGGCCCCGGAGGGGGCCGCATGAGCAGCGACGAGCCTTCCCCCGAACCTCCACTTCCGCACCCAAGAATCCCACCGCCTCCCGCACCTCCCAACGGGCTCCCATGCAGAAGGAACGAAGCGGACGGCAAGCTACCGCCTTTCGGGGGGGTCCCTCCGCCGTGCAGGTGATGGTGGTGGTGGTGCTGCGAGTGCTGGTGCGGGTGCAAGTGGCTGTGATGGTGACTCCCGCTCCCGCTGCCGCTGCTGCCGATGCGCGAGCGTGGCGGGGTGTTGTTCGGCGAATGCTGGTGGTGCTGGTGGTGGCTGCTGCTGTGGTGGCTGTTGCCGTGGTGGTTATGCGCGCTACCGAAGCTGCTCCCGCTGCCGTCTCGCCCGGGCGTGCGGGAGAGAGACGAGCCTTGGTTGTGGGAGGAGCCAGACCCGCCTGATAGCTTGCTCCCTGATCCCTTGTTCCGTGACTTGATGGCCCGGCCCTTACGGGGGCTGCTGCTGGTCGGCTCAGTGTCGGGCTGGAGAAGGAAGTGACAGTGGGAGTGGGGAGATGAGAGGGTGAGTGAGGGAGCGAGGGTGGGGGAACGGGGTGGAAGAAAGGAAGGGAGCGAGGGAGCGGACGAGAGGGAAGGGGAAACATGATAGTGTGGGGGGGTGAGATGTTAAGAGGGAGCGAGGGAAGGAGTAAGGGAGGGAGCGAGGAAGGGAGAGAGAGGGAAGCTGGTATTTGAGAGTTGTCAAGAACCAACTTGTCTCATAAGCACGTACCATGGAGAGAACACCGTCACCAGGAGGAGACAGAGCCGGCATGTTGCCACCCCTTCTGCTGCCGCTGCCACCAGCCCCACCAGCACCAGCAGCGGCGGCGGCGGCGGCGGTGGGTGAAGCATCATGAGTGCTACTGGCGTCCCCATCATTCTCGCCATCATCTAATGCCAATAATCCCTCACTGGCAGCAACGCCGTCTAGAAGATTCTCCTCCGCTGATGAATCCACAACCCCTCCTGCTCCTCCTTTTGCTGCCGCTGCCGCTGCTGCTCCTGTGCCTGCAGCAGCAGAAAGGCTGCCGCTGCTGCTGTGGTTGCTGTGGAGGCTGCTTTGACTGCCCTTCTTGTTCTTCCCTGCATGTGCCTGCTGACCCTGGTGCTGCGAGTGCTGGTGGTGATGCTGATGCTGGTGCTGCTTCTGAGAGAGGGATTACGATGGGGAGGGGGAATGGGGATGGTAATTGAAAGGTGAATGCCGATAACTATCATAAATGGGAAGAACAGAGACAGAGTACTGCTGCGGGCCAAGTCGGGGATGGGTCTGACAGTGGTGCGCCGGGAGGGGCCTCTGCTGTGTAGTGGACTGAAGATGAGCAGGCGAACAAAACGGGAGCACGGGGACGAATGGGCAGTGGCAAAAAATGGATAATAACATGGCACGGCATGGCATGGCATGAAAAAACCCAGGATTTACATGCCAAGGCATCGCATGGTACAGCAAAGCACGTGCTGGTGCACGCACATGTGCCATTGCTACATACATGTGCTGGCTTTCGAATGAGCAGGCGCACGTGCAGGCCGCTGCGCCAGTTGTTCTCGTCTGTCAGCATCTCAACTGCCCTCTCTGCCTCCTCTACACTCTCATACTCCACCAACGCGTGCAGCTGCCAGGGGGGGTGGGGCACGGCAGCACAGTGGGATGCAGTGAGATGCAGTACAGTGCAGTGAGACACTGCCCTCTCCGCCTCCTCCACTCTCATACTCCACCAACGCGTGCAGCTGATGGTGGGATGGGGTGTGGCAGCATAGTGGCATGCATGCAGTAAATAAGATGCATTTTGGTGCACTGAGATACGCCCCTCTCCGCCTCCTCCACACTCTCATACTCCACCAATGCGTGCACCTCATGGTGGGATGGGGCAAAGGAGCAAATTGGATATGCGGGGTGGAACCAGATGCAGTCAATATCAGCAAGATGCAGCACGGTGCAGCACGGTGCAGCGCAGTGAGATGAGTCGGCTCAAGACCCACCCTTCCTGAGCCTCACCTTGTTGTCAACCGCAAGGCGATGGTGGTGTGCATGCTGCTTGTGACGAGACAATGATTTATGCACCAAAGGCACCTCAATACACATCCTTTTCTTAGGCGCCTCAAAAATAAAATTATGGACCACAGGCACCGCACAACACATCTTTTTTTGAGGCGCCTAAAAAATAGATTGATGCACCAAAGGCACCCCACCTTGTTTGTGACCACAAGGTCATGGTGGTGTGCGTGCTGCTTGTGCCTGTGCCTCCCCACAAAAACTTCATGCCACACGAATCCACACATATGTCACCCTTCCCCCTTTTTCCCAGAACCCACCTTGTTAGTGATCACTAGGTCATGGTGGTGCGTGTGCTGCTTGTGCCTGCCTGTGACTTCACCACAAAACAAACACCATGCCACACACATCCAAGCACGTCACCAGTCCCCCTATTTCCCCTTTGCCAAGCCCCACCTTGTTTGTGACCACTAGGTCATGGTGGTGTGCGTGCTGCTTGTGCTCTGAGACGAATTTCTAAGCGCCTCATAAACCCTTCCAGAGCCCCACCTTGTTGGTAACCACTAGGTCATGGTGGTGTGCGTGCTGCTTGTGCCCGTGCCTCCCGCTGTTGCCCCCACCTGCTCCCGCTCCTGCCCCCCCACCTGCTGCAGCTATCGCCGCCTGGTTGGCACTGTTGGCCGCTTCAGGCTTGCACACTCGCACCATCTTCACTCTGCATGGGTTGAGAGGGGAGGCAGGGTGAACAAGCAGAGCGGAGATGAGTGCCGGAGTGAGGAAACAGAAGGGGGGGATTTGGCTGCCTGGTTGGCGCTGTTGGGCGCTTCAGGCTTGCACACTCGCACCATCTTCACTCTGCATGGGTTGAGAGGGGAGGCAGGGTGAACAAGCAGAGGGGAGATGAGTGCCGGAGTGAGGAAACAGAAGGGGGGGATTTGGCTGCCTGGTTGGCGCTGTTGGGCGCTTCAGGCTTGCACACTCGCACCATCTTCACTCTGCATGGGTTGAGACAGAAGGCAGGGAGAACAAGCAGAGGGGGGGTGAGTGCGGGGGGTAGGGAAAGAAGGAGGGGTTTTACCGGCTTGACTGATACTGTTAGTTGGCAAGATCATGCCTGCATACTCGCACCATCTTCACTTCACTCTGCATGGGTTGACAGGGAAGGCAGGGTGGATTAGTGGTGAGATTGAAAGCAGGGAAGGAGAAAAGTGACAAGAGGGCAGAAACATACAGGGAAGAGAAACAATACAGGGAAGAAAAACCACCACACCCTCCCACCGACAAGAAAAAGGAGCGAAAAACCAAATCACAGAAAAACGCTGTGTATGTAAAACCCTTGCAAGAAGACCTTCCTGCACAGCAAGCTTCCGCACGTGCCTCGCAGCGCAGCGTACCGCACCACACCACACCACACCCAACCATAACCGCACTGCACCACAGTGCAGCGCACAGCACTCACTTGCCCGCCTTGGCAAAGAGAGCCTCCATGGCTGGAATGGAGTGGTCCTCTGGTAGGTTCTCCGCCACCACTGTGCGCGCCTGGTGGTGGGGAGGGGAGGGGGGAGGGGGGAGGGGGGGAGAGGGAGGAGCGCGAGAGTTTTGAGACGTCTCACAACTTGTTTTGGCAAAGAGGGCCTCCATGGCCGGAATGGAGTGGTCCTCTGGTAGGTTCTCCGCCACCACTGTGCGCGCCTGGTGGCGCGAGGGGAAGTGGGGAGGGATTGAGGGAGGGAGGGAGGGAGGGAGGAAGGGAGGGAGGGAGGGAGGAGCGAGTGCAGGGGTGGGAGGATTTTTTTGTTTCTTTGGTGGGTTCCTTGTTGGTCGCTTTCGGAGTGGAGTAGTCCTTTGGTAGGTAGGTTCTCCACCGAGCGCCCCTTATGCGGGAAGGGGGGGAGGTGGGGGAGGGGAGGGGAGGTGAGGGAGGGGGGAAGTGAGCGAGGGAGGAGTGCGAGAGAGGGTCTGTGAGGTGCCTCGAAATTCGCCGAAAGTGCAAGGAGGGGAAAGGTGAGGGAGGGAGGAGAGAGAGAGACAGGGCAGAAGGAAGGGGGGAATTTTGTCCCTTGGTTAGGTTCCTTGTACTAGTTTGTTTCTCGTATATTCGGAGGAAGTAGTCCTTTGGTCCAGTGAGGAAGAGAGATAAGGACCATTGCAGGGTCGGAGGGAGGGAGGGGGGGAGGGAAGGCAGGCGGGAGAGAGGGAGAAAAAAATATCTGATAGTTCCTCTTTACTAATTCGTTACTTGGTTTCGAAATATGGGTTTGCCAAGTGGGGAGAGGGGAGAAGGCGGAGAGATGCGCAGTGTGTGTGTGTAGGAGTATAGGAGTGGATTTTCAGGGTTGCGTAGCCATTCCCGCGTGACTGTGACGCACATGAGAGCACACGTGTCAGGGGTGTGCAGGGATGGAGGAGCAGGGAGGGGCAGGGAGGGGTATGGAGGGGTATGGAGGAGTGTGGAGGAGTATGGAGGGACAGTGAGTATGGAGGCGTAAACAGGGCCATGAAGGAGGATGGAAGCGTCTGGAGGGGTGTGTAGGGGAGGGAATGTGAAATGTCTTGGTTTCGCTGTTAATTTCCCCTTTTCCCTCATCGATCCATTCACTTGCCCGTCTACCTGTCTACCGCTCGTCCACCCTCACTTAGGCACGGAACCACACATGTTCTCCCAAGGTCCCTCGCCCATTTCCTTCCTATGCACGATTCCCTCCCCTCCCCTCCTCCCCCCCGCAACTCTCCCTTCCGATTACAATCTCGGCCAGATGCACCTCCTCCAGATCCACCTCCCCCAGTAAATTCCAAATCTTTCTCACTCTACTCACTTCCTCCTCCTCTTCCCCACCGTCCCCCCCGCTTCCCCATCCCTCCGCGGCCGCGCTCACCTGCACCTCCTCCAGATCCACCTCCCCCAGTAAGCTCAAAATCTTCCCCACTCTCCCCACTTCCCAAGTTCCCGCTCCCCTGCCCCCTCCTCCCCCGCTCCCCTGCCCCCTCCTCCCCCACTCCCCTGCCCCCACCTCCCCCACTCCCTGCCCCCACCTCCCCCACTCCCTGTCCCCACCTCCCCCACTCCCCTGCCCCTTCCTCCCCTGCTCACCTGCACCTCCTCCAGATCCACCTCCCCCAGAGCCACCGCACGCCGCACCTTCTTGCCATCCTCCCCCACCACCTGCGCGCGCAGCACACACACAGCGCCGATTGCGTGCGCGGATGGGCGGGGTGGGGGAAGGGCGGAAGGAAAGGGGGAACAAATGGGGGAACGAAATGGGAGAGTAAGAAGGGAAAGGAAGGGGCGGAAGGGAGGATGGAGGGAGTGGGAGTGGGGAAAGAAAGCTGGGGGAGAAGTGAAGGCAGCGGAGTTAAGCGTGTGTGTGTGTGTGTGTTAACAATAGTCGCGTTGCGAGAGAATAGAGAACGATAGCAGAAAGGAACAGCGAGGGGGGCAAGGGACGGCAGAGGACGGTGAGGGAGGTATGGGAACGGTGAGGGAGGTATGGGAACGGCGAGGGAGGGCAAAGGACGGGAAGAACGGCAAGGATGGCAGAGGGAGGGGCAGAGAGAGGGGCAGAGAGAGGGGGAAGGGGGGGAGCAGGGTATTTTTCTCAAGAAGAGGGAGCAAAGCAGAGCACGGACGAGGAAGGGCGAGGCTCTGAGGGCTGCAGCGAGCAGGTTGCGTGAGGGAGAGGGACGTCAAGGCAGAGGGGCAGAGAGGGGGAAAGGGCGAGCACGGACGAGGAAGGGCGAGGCTCTGAGGGCGGTGGCGAGCAGGTTGACGACTGCTACGTTGGGCGAGCCCTGGGGCACGAGCGCACGGATTTTGCGGAACTCTGCTATGATCTTCAGCGGCACTGGCGGACGGGGGACAGCGGGGAAGGGGCGTGGGCGTGGGGGGGGGGGGGATTGGGGGGATAGGGTGAGTTTAGGGTCGACTCAAAGTCATCTTGCGGCACTCCGCTATGATCTTCAGCGGCACTGGCGGACGGGGAGAGCGGGGAAGGGGGAAGATCGGGGGGATGGGGGGGAATGTAGGGTGACTTTTTAGTCGACAAATTGGGTAGGGAGGGGTAATGGGGAAAAGGGAAGGGAGATAGGGGTAAGGGGGAAGGCGGAAGGAGGAAGGGGGAAGGGGAAAGAGGGGAAGGGGGAAGGGGGGAGAAGGGAAGTGGGTAATGGGGAAGGGAGCGGGGGAAGATGCCGTGGCAGCAGCAACAACAGAAGGAAGTGAGAGCAGCAACAGAAGCAAGAGTCGGAGGCACAAACGGAGAAGCAAGAACCGCGAGACAGAGCGGGAGGGAGCAGAAGGAGCCGCTGCCTCAACAAAGAAGAAGACGAGAGGAAGAAGAGAAGATAGGAGGAATAAAGAAACTGACCGTATCCCTCAGGGTCCTTGCGCACGAGCTTCATGAGATGGTTGTCCGTGGGAAGGTTCTGATCGCTCAGGTAGAACTCCACCTGTCGCCAGGTGCCCCGGCACGAGGGAAAGAGGGAGGAGGCCCGGACGGACGGACGAGGAGGGGGGACACAAGGGGAGGGTGGACGGAACAAGGGAGGGACAGACGAGGAGGAGATAAAGACGGGCTCAGGTGAGCAGGAGGAGGGATCTAGTAGGCTCATGCCATGCTGCTGCCGTGCACTGTTGCTTGAGCTGGGAGCAGGGATCTAAGCTGTCGCGATGGCGAACATCGAAAGATACCAGGGCGGCAGGAGGAGGGGAAGGAGAAGGGCAATGCAATGAATGGGTAAACCGCATAATCCGCCAAACCCTCCGGTTCTCCTCACACAAACACACACGCACACACCATCTTCACCGGGCCCCCCTGCATCCCTTCCCTGACCGTGACAACCCCGTCCACGCCCCTCTTTTTGGGGCGCCTAGACAATAGACTTCACCGGCTCCCCCTGCATCCCTTCCCTGAACTTGACAACCCGTTCAAGCCCCTCTTCTTCACAGCCCCGCCCCCTCCCAACTGCCGATCCCCTCGATCCCAACGGGTGTGTTTCAAGTGTTGGAACGGACCTGTTGTACCTGCCCCAGCGCGCACCTGCCCCAGCGCGCACCTGCCCCAGCGCGCACCTGCCCCAGCACGCACCTGCCCCAGCGCGCATCTGACCCAGCACGCACCTGCCCCAGCACGCACCTGCCCCAGCACGCACCTGCCCCAGCACGCACCTGCCCCAGCACGCACCTGCCCCAGCACGCACCTGCCCCAGCACGCACCTGCCCCAGCACGCACCTGCCCCAGCACGCACCTGCCCCAGCACGCACCTGTCGCACCATCTTCTCCTTCACCTCCTCCAGCTCCTTGCCCGCTAAGTGCACGCTCGGCTCCTTGCCCTGCTTCCCCCCCTTCGCCTTCCCATGCGCCGCCGCCGCTCCCTGCTGCCCCCCCTTCCCCTGCCCCGCCCCGTGCCCGTGCGCCTGCGCCTGCGCCTGCGCGCTAGTATGCCCGGCCTGCGGGTGCTTATGCTGTGGCTGCTGCTGCTGCTGCTGCTGCTGCTGCTGCTGGTGTGGGTGGTGGTGGTGGTGATGATGGTGATGGTCTACCTTCACCCAGTCCTTATCATCATCACCTGCTTGCGCTTCCGCTCCTTGCGCTTCTGCTGTTTGCGCTTCCGCTGTTTCACTACCCCCACCTTCTCTCTTCTCACCCTCTCCTTCTCCCCCGTCGCTCTTCCCTCCCCTCGCGCTCTCCCCCTCTTTCTCTGTCACCTTCCCTTGGTCTGTCAATGCCTCCCCCTCGCACCCCACATTCTCACTCCTCTCCGCACTCACGCTCGCACCTCCACCTCCCGCTTCCACTTCCGCTTTCGCTTCCGCTTTCGCTTCCGCCCCTTCGGAGCCCCCCGCTTCCGCTGCCCCATTGCCCGACTGCGCGGCACTCTCAACATCCCCCGCCCCCGCCGCTTCCGCCGCGCTAGGAGCAGCAGGCGCGACGCCGTTCGTCCCAGCCGCAACTACCTCGTGAGGAAGCTCGTTTCCGGCTGCCTCCGCGGGTTCCACGGCCGGAAGCGGCATCTGGGCCGGCATTTGCGCCGGCATTTGCGCCGGCATCTGCGGCACCATCTGCGGCGAGCCGCTCTGCATCACCACGACGCCCTCACGCTCCGTCGCCGCCATCATTCCCGCCGGCGGCATCCCCATAGGAACACCCATCCCCATCCCCATCGCCATCCCCATCCCCACACCCCCCCCATGATGCGGCCCCCCCATCATTCCCCCCATGTGCCCGTGCGCGTGCGGGTGCCCGCCGTGCCCATGCGCGTGTCCGTGCGCGTGGCCCCCGTGTCCGCGCGCTTGCCTGCGCGGACCCGCGGCAATCGGCATTAGCGGACTGGCCTCCACCGGGGATCCGCTGTGCATGTATCCGCCTCCGCCTCCGCCGCCGCCGCCCCCCGGGTGCCCGTACATGCCCTGCGCGCCCATCCCCGGTGGGCCGTACCCCATAGGCGCGGGGAGGCCTTGCCCCATGTGCGGAACATTGAATGGCGGCATCGACGGCGCCATTGACGGCGACATCGACTGCGGCATGGGCATCATCGCCGGATGCGGCGGCTGCGCCGGCTGAGGAGGCACCGGGCTTCCTCGGGAAGGGACACGTGGCACGAAAACCGCAGCTCCCGCATTGAGGATGCGGCCGGCTGGCGGAGACAGCGACGTGGCGGGAAAGCCGTCGGGCTCGATCGCGATGCCGGCGGGAGCGGCGGGGATGCTCATGGGGAGCGATGCCCCCGGTGTCCCTCCGTTCAGCGAGGGATTTGACGGGTCTGGGAGAAGCATGCGATGGCACACGAGAAGGAATGAGTGAAGCGAAAGGATAGAGTGGGAGAGGAGGGATAGAGGCGCGTGGGAATGATGCGAATCGTCGGGAAGCAGAAGGTAGGAAATGCGTGAAGAGAGCTGTGGTCAGAAGCGGGAACGAGGCTGTACCTAAAAAAGAGGGACAGGGAGATAGATCGACGAGAGAAAACGGATATGGGAAGGAACGGCGACGCCTACGGTGGAGCGTAAGGCAATGCGAGGGCAACACACGGGAGCTAGAACTTTCATCGAGATCTCGAGTCACTTCTGATTCAAATCTACATTCAGATCCGTGGCTTGTGCTTACCATGGCTGCCTTGTCCCCCGTGGAACGGCGACGAGGACTCGACCTGATCGGCCATCAAATGGGGTTCGCGAAACGGCAGAATGCCGCCACTGTCGGCCCCAAATGCCGGCGATTAGGCGATGCCACTACAACTGCCAGGCGGCTGGAAACACTCTATGAAACACGAGTTGGGAGATGTGTTTGGAAGGGGTTGTGAGGGGGATCTGGTTATCGTTCTGAATGGAAGCATGGGAATCTCGAGGTGTGGTGCTGCTCGTCACGGAGATCTCGAGGGGTTGGGGTTGGGGAGAGTTCTTCACCCTTTTCAATCGCTCTGCGCTGGCGTTCGAGTTTCCGCGGGGGCGAGGGGAGGCAGAGGTGGGGGGAGTTCCGGAAGCAGGGGAGGGGGAATGAGTGGCGGAGGAACCTTGGTTTGGGGATAGGGGAGAATATGGTGGGTACCGGGAGAGAAGGTGGGGAAAGAGTGGTGCTGGTAGAGCGGAAGCGGAGAGAGATCCGCAGGAGGTCGGTGGCATTGGTGGAATGTATAGATTCGGTTTGGTGTTGCCAGGCTGACGACGATGTGTTGTCCCTCCCCCCTCCTCTGGTGTTGCCGGGCTCGGCACAGCATGACATGGATGGGGTAGGAAGAGCATAATGGATTTCGAGGACTTCGATGATTCAAAGAGAGCACACTGGGGCAGAGCAAGGTTACCCTAAACTACAGAAGTGATCGCGTTTCGAGGTTCTATAAGTTGTATCTTGATTTGACAGAACGAAGAGTTTCGTACCTATTTGTTTACCAGAAAACTGTATAATGCTGGGCTGGCAAACCAGCCACATTGTAGAAATCTGCCCGGCGGTGGGCAACTTTGCAAGGAGTGAAACGTGTAATGCCCCTTGAAACATGTCACTTCGACCTTTTTTCATTTGCAGATTTGCCAGACCAGACCACGGATACCGCAATAAAGGGGTGACGAGACGACGACCCAATCCAGTTAGACCACTCTATCCAGTGGGATGAGCTGACGTGGACATCACGTGAGATTGCTTGGCCACCGCCAAAAGTCCGTCGCAACGAACCTCGACGAATCAAGACGACGAAAGGTGACTCGCTCGCTCCAAAAGACACTTGAAACCCAGCGAGTGCGAGTGAAAGGCAACGACCACTGTACACCTGATGCCCATGTCAGTCCCGTTCCCCATCTTTCTCTGTGCTCCTCTTTCGAGCACGCGCTCGCTACGGGGAGAATGGGACTGTATCTGGGTAGCCCAGCGTGTCTTGTCTGGGAAACTCGAATAACTTATTCGAGGTCAAGAATATCTTAGTTTTGTCGTGGGCTAGTAACGCGCAGGCCGTTGGCTGTGAATGTCGACCACTGGGCGTATGGAGTGGCAGTGGGCGTGTTCAGAGTGGGCGGTTGAGTGAGCATTAGGGTGTACAGAACTTCGACTGCAGTACAGTACAGACACAACTACAGGCAAGCACAACCCCAAAAGATTGCCGTGCCTACAATCACAAGTACAGTACCACATGTGGATCATCCTACTACCAGCAGCATGCCTCACACTTGAAATATCCCTATGCACAAATTCAGGCAGAATCCCTACAGCCAAGCTGCCAACGCCAGAGCTGAAGTGGGAGTTGCAATATCCCATGGCCTAATCAGAGTCTGACAGCCAGATTGAGGCTTCCACACTGAAGACATTCCATGCCCCTCATTGCTCCTTGTTGATCCTCAAGACATATCCACAACATCATCAGAAGTGTATGTTTGTGCTTCATTGCGTAATGTATAGCATAGAAAAACATTTATAGGTACATAAATGAATGAATGTTACAGCGAGCACCCTTTCCATGTGTAGAGTAGAAGATGTATTGTTGTCTTGTCAAGGAAGAGGCTCCTGCACGTTACTGAGTCGGTTGAGGTGTAGATACGCATCAGTACCTGTTGACAGTGGGAATGAGAGAAAAAAAACAATAACCAGGATGTGGTAAGCAAAGAGAGGAAGTAGAGAACTGCAAAGATGCACTCACACGAACCACATGCTAATCCCCTCCCACAGTTATTCCACACCAGATTCTCCTTCTCTTGTGAGCTCTTGCATAGAAAAGCACTTGCTTCAGACACAGCAGCTCACCATATCCTTCCATGCTGAATATTTGCAGGTCACCCCCGAAATATCGCGCGTAGAGTCGAGCAATCGGCAAACCGTAACCGTAACCAGCAATCACGCTCGGCAACTCCTCCCCATCAGCGCTCGCCATCGTGCTCACAGTCACTCCATCGCCCACTTCATCTACGCCCATTCCCCCATCTTCCTCCGTCAAATCCCATGGCTCGGCAAAACTACTGCCTACAGGAGTGAACCGGGAAGCGCGTGGGGACGACGCGGCCGAGGAGGCAGGAGAGGAGGCGAGAGAAATGGCAGATGGGGAGGAGGGGGTGGAGGGAGGCGAGGAGCCCGGAGTCGAAGGTCCCGAGGAAGCGGGTGAGGGGGGTTCGGTTTCGCTGGGGTTGAGAGGGTTTGGGGGCTGGCGTAGAGGAGTGGGTATGGAAGCTGTACTGTAGAGGTAGGACCAGATACGAGGCAGGCCACTGCGCTTGATCCCTCCCCCCTCGTCTGACACCTGCCAGTGGTCAGAAAGGGGATGGGAAGAGTGGGAGTAGGGTCAGCATGATTTGAGATTTCTGTGAGGAGGAATAGTTTAGGCTAGTGGGCATGGTGGGGATTGGGATATATGCGCATGGTGGCAAAGTTGCACGCTGCAGTATAGGGAGGGGCGCAACTGCCATTTGGTGACAGAGGGAGGCCAAGAAAAGGAAATGGTGGAAATTACAGTCAAGAGAAAGACGGACTGACGGACTCATGGACTAACTGACTGACAGACAGACGGACTGACTGATTGACAGACGGATTGATTGACGGACTGACTGACTGACGGACTGATCGACTGATTGACTGACTGACCGACTGACGGAATGACTGACAGACGGACTGACTGACTGACTAACTGACTGACTGACTGACTGACTGACTGACTGACTGACTGACTGACTGACTGACTGACTGACTGACTGACTGACTGACTGACTGACGGAATGACTGACAGACGGACTGACCTTGATGGCCACGTCCTCGATCCCATCGGCCACCACCACGCGCACTGGTGGCGGCTGGGTGTCTGGGAATCGCTCCTGCACGGCCCTGAGGGAGTTCTTGAGCAGCTCAAACAGCATGTGGTGCAGGTGCGTGCGCACATAGCTGGCGTGGGATGGGGGACGTGGAAAGGGGGAACTAGAGCATTAAATGGGAGCTCTTGCAAGAGCGTGTGGTGCAGGTGTGTGTGTGTGTGTGTGTGTGTGTGTGTGTGTGTGTGTGTGTGTGTGTGTGTGTGTGTGTGTGCACATATCCGGTGTGGAATGAAGGAGGGTGCGGCGAAGGAGAGGGGGGTGGGGGTTGTGAAGTTGTCTTAGGGCGCGTGTGATCTTTGAAATTTGTATAAGTTTACATTTTTAGGTCGAATGTAGCATTTGAACTTAGGGCGAACAAAACTCGACTTTCCTTGCAGCGAAGTTCGCACCTTGGGTCCCCAACTCAGACGAGTCTCAATCACACACCCAAGGTCGAACACAGAGATTCGACCTTATAGGGAAGGCGGCGAGCCGCCCGTAGGTGGTTTAGGTTACCCGGTACAGCGCGCCACGTCAACATACTGCCCAACGAAACTCCGTGACCTTCACGAAGCAGTCGCTATTTTCGCATGGTCTTCGTACGTGCTGAAAACAACACACGCTCGCTTCAACGTGCACCCGCACGTTCACCAGTGTGATTCGAGTTGAGTTCACATTTGACATTCGCACTTATGTGACCCCAAAATTCTCATGCCTTCGCCAAAGCATTTCGGCGACATTGGCGAAACGGGTAACCACTCAAAGTTCGACTTTTTTTCCGAACTTGAGAAAAGATCACACGCGCCCTTAAGGGGAATGCGCAGTCGGGGGCCGGGGGAGGGGGGGAAGAATAGAACGAATAGCAGCAGAGTGAAGCGGTAAGGTAGGGTAGGGTAGGCAGGGTAGAATAGAGTAGGCGACGCACGGGAAGGTGAAGGTGGGGTCCCCAAATACGTGGACCTCGGGAGCATTCCCATAGGTGCGACTGCAGAGCGTTCTTGCATCATCAATGGCGTTCCTGGCCACCTCAAAGGGGCGGCACTTGGTGTCTATCAGCCCGATCATGCTCTCCCTGCCCGGCCCTGTCTTGTGCAGCGCTATCTGCTGCCCTGTGTGTGTGTGTGCATGGACGGATGGATAAATGCAGATAGGCGGGAAGAGGAAGAAAGAAAGAGAGGTGTGGTTTAAAATAGACTAGAAAACCTGCTCCACAACTAGTACCCTGTGTGTATGGATGCACAACGAGAGAGAAGCACGGGAGAGAAAGGCAAGCGAGAGCAAGCGAGGGAGTAGCAAGGGACGGGGGAAGGGGAGGAGAGGAGCTGACCGATGAGCATGCGGATGCCGATGCGTGAGAGGAAGAAGCGGTCGAGGAACTGATGCACCTCGGGGAACTTGTCCATGGGCAGCCATGGGTTGTCCACCTGCCATGCCATGCCGTGCCAAGCCATGCCATGCCATGCCGTGGCGTGCCAAGCCGTGCCGTGCCAAGCCATGCCGTGCCATGCCATGCCAAGCCATGCCGTGCCAGGGGAGCACCATGAATGAGATATGAACAAGCCAGCACAACCACAGCCCACCCATGCACACTGTGCTGATAAACGCTGCCTAACATGTCTCTCCGGAGATCCATGTGTGCTGCAAGCTCCCCCCCGTGATGCCGCGCCTTCTCCCCCACATGCAACCCCATCCCCTTATCCACCTCCCTTCTTCCCTTCCCGTCCCCTTTTCATCTTCCCCCATCAAGCTCACCTGCAGGCGTTTCTTGAGCTCGGCGATGCCGAGCGCCATGCAGGGCACGGTGTGGTTGTGGCGTGTCTTTTTCCCTCGAAACAAGCCCCTCGTCTACCCCCCCACACCTCTCCCTGCCCCCACTTTCCCGCCTCCTCCCTGCCCCCCTTTCCGACTTCCCATTCCAAAAGCTCACCTGCAGGCGTTTCTTGAGCTCGGCGATGCCGAGCGCCATGCAGGGCACGGTGTGGTTGTGGCGTGTCTTGATGCGCTCGATGAGGCGCGTGAACGCCACCTCCTCCTCCGCGCCCTCCACCTCGGGGAAGTTGCGCAGATCCATGAACGACTGCACGTACCACTCCCGCACCTGGTGGTTGTGGGGGGGGCGGGGGGGGAGGGGGGAAAGGCGAAAGAGAGGGGAAGGGAGAAGAGGAGGGGGGAGAGAGGAGGATAGGGAGAAAGGAGGGGGGGAGGATGGGAAGAACGGGAGAGGGGGAGGATGGCACATGGCAGGGGAACAAGTGTGTGAGAGGCAGAGGGAGTCAGAGGGAACAGATGGTGGTGAAAGCCAGGCACCTCCTCCTCCGCGCCCTCCACCTCGGGGAAGTTGCGCAGATCCATGAACGACTGCACGTACCACTCCCGCACCTGGTGGTTTATTTGTTTCATAGAAGGGGCAGGGGATCCGGGGAGAGAAGAGGAGGGAGAAGAGAGGAGGAAAGGGAGAAGGGACGGGGGGAGGAGAGGGGGAAAAAGAGCGGGGGGAAAGGCACATGGCCAGGGAACAAGTGCGTTGAGAGTCGGAGAGAGTCAGGCACCAGATGGTGAGAGGGAACAGATGGTGATGGTGGGTGCCAGCAACCTCCTCTCCTCCTCCGGATCCGCGCCCTGCACCTCGGGGAAGTTGCGCAGATCCATGAACGACTGCACGTACCACTCCCGCACCTGGTGGCGTGATAAGAGGGAGAAGGGAGCGGGAGAGGAGGGGGGAGAAGCGAGAGGGGAAAGAGGAGGGGAGAGTGGAGAGGGGAGGGAGCGAGCGGGAGGAGAGGGAGAGGGGGGCATGGAGTGGCAAGAGCGCGGGATGGTCATGGCAATGCGTGGCATGGTGCGGCCTGGTTCGGCATTGCTGCAACGTGGCATGGCATGGCATGGCATGGCATGGCATGGATCCGAGGTACCTTGAGCACGTGGGGCATGTGCGAGAGGCCATGTGGCAGGTGGTGCCATACGGCATGGCATGGCTGGCATGGCATGGCTGGCATGGCATGGCATGGCTGGCATGGCATGGCATGGCTGGCATGGCTGGCATGGCATGGCATGGCATGGATCCGAGGTACCTTGAGCACGTGGGGCATGTGCGAGAGGCCATGTGGCAGGTGGTGCCATACGGCATGGCATGGCTGGCATGGCATGGCATGGCTGGCATGGCTGGCATGGCATGGCATGGCATACCTTGAGCACGTGGGGCATGTGTGAGAGGCCGTGCAGCAGGTGGTCAAGTCAAGCTCCGCGATGGTGGGTATGGTCTGGCCTGGACCTGGACCGCCTGGTTTGGCATTGGTGCCATATGGCATGGCTGGCATGGGATGGCATGACATACCTTGAGCACATGAGGCATGTGTGAGAGGCCGCGCGGCAGGTGGTCAAGTCAAGCTCCGCGATGGTGGGTATGGTCTGGCGGGTTTGGCATTGCTGCAATATTGCATGGCATGGCACGGCATGGCATGTGATGGCATGGCATGAATCCGAGGTACCTTACCTTGAGCACATGGGGCATGTGCGAGAGGCCGTGCGGCAGGTGGTCGAGCTCCGCGATGCGGTGCGCGAAGCGGATGGGCAGCTCGTTGTGCAGGAAGCGCGCCGATGCCACAAGCGACGACGCCTCCGTGGGCCGCGGGCGGAAGCTCATCATGTAGCTCAGACTCACGCCCGTGCGCTTCTGGTCAGGTCACGATCATGGACGGGCGGACGGACGGATGACGGACGGATTGACGGACGGATTGACGGACGGATTGACGGACATGAGGCGAACGGACGAACATGATGCGGGCGGCGAGCGAAGCAGGGAATAGGTCATGGGTGAGTGCTGCTGAGTGGGCGCGGAAGCCGCGGACGGACGGACGGACGGATGGACGGATGGACAGACAGGGACGGACGGATGGACGGACAGATAGATGGACGGAAGGATGGACGGAAGGACGGAAAGACGGACGAAAGTGAAGGAACAGGAGCAAATAAACTATACCAGGGGAGTGGTGGGGTTAGCGGGAGGAATATGATGGGTGAGTAATGAGAGGAGTGAACTCGCAAGTCACAGCAGCTCTTCGTGGCGCACTGCTGCCCCTAAGCTGACCAGACCAGACCAGACCGGACCAGACCGGACCAGAATCTGACCGCGCGCTTCTACGTTGACCAACAAAGGTGGCGAGACGAGGCGAGGAAAATATGTGTTCGTGGCGAGAGCTTTTGGTGGGATGAGAGCTTTCGGCGGGGTGTGCGTAAGCATCATAACCGCTTGCCGGGGTTGCTCCCGTGCTGATAGCACCGCCGTTCACAGCGACGCCCTAACCGAGGCGCAAAAAAACGCTCGCGAAACTCGTGTTGGAGAATGACTCAGGGAAATAGGCGCGCTTTCAGCGAAGATTGGTGGTGACGTCATTCGGATACGGAGGACCTACTATTGTTGAAGCGCCTATGATATATTCTTGATTTAGATGGTGACGTCTTTTGGATCGGTAAGACGTACTTTGAGCGAGCTCCGGTGAATGTCCGCCCAAACGGCGCGCGGAATCGTGTCCGCTAGCCGCCGGAGCGCGGGTAGCGCCTCCCGCGTTGGCCCCATTGCGACGATAGCGCCTCCCGCTTGTCTGCCTGCCTGTGCTCCAGTTGTGTTTCAGTCGACTCGACTCGACCTAGACGCAGTAACTCCTCTTTCCTTCCCTTCCTCGATCGTCTCTCTGTCGCTCCACGCTGCCTTCCGTCGCTCGCTCCTTCGCGCAAAATTGCTTCGTCGCTCACCGAATGCGACGACGCGCTTGGATCGCACGGTCAGGAACGACGCGCGCTACGACACGACCCTACTCGTCGGGCCTCTATTCTTCACCCCGCGTCGGAGCCTAGGGAAACGAAGCGCACGTGCAGTGCAAACGACAGGAAGCAGGATAAAGAACTGATATTACGTAGGACTAGGAGAGAAGTGGAGGTAAAATATGTACAACAGGGTGAATCAGGATGGAGAAGCAGGTGTAGGTGCTTCTAGGTTCCGCCGGTCTAAGATCGAGGTGGCGGTGAGGTACTGTACCACGGGGGGGAAGTCCCCATGTGGTGACGTTTCAAAGGAGTGTTGCGCGGCCCAGCGGTTTTTTCAGCGGTGCGTGGTTTTCGGCAATGTCAAGGTTTGAGGTTGCAGTGCGAATGCGCTGTGGGGGGCTGGACCACACTAAATTCATGAACCAACTGAGAAAGCTGAAATTTATGTACAGTCAACCATTGTAATCTACATGACTTCTAACAACTGAGAACCTAGGAACGTTGATCATCAAAATGAGGGTGACTACTAGCACAAATACCGTACTAATATTCTATACGAGGGAAGAAACAAGCAACCACATCAGTCTCCCCTGTAAAAAATATGGCAAATGTCATGTCAAGAGCCGGAGTGCCGTTTGGAGGATATTAGGCGTCCCTGGCCTGGGTATATGCAAAGCAAAGCCCTTATGCTTCTCCTCTCGCTTCACTCCCTCTCCTCCCTTAACCCCTTGCCGCCCCTCTCTATCATCATCCTCCTCGCTCCCACCCCTCCCACTCTCTCTCATACTTCCACCTCTAGATCTCTCCCTTGCCCACATACCTTGCACTTTACTCCTCCCATCCAACACCATCCCCACCTCCTTCCCTCCACTCTCCTCGCCTCCTCGCTCTTCCTCCCACTTCCCACCATCTCTCCCCACTATCCCTTTCTCTCCCCCCACCTGCACATCCACCTCCCGACCATCCTCTCCCACTCGACTCTTCCTGTGAGCCCCTCCTTTCCTCTCTCCTTTCACCCTCCCCTTGGCCTGTCCTGGGCTGTCCACACTCTCACCCACATCAGCATACGGGCCAATACCATCCCAAGACATGCGCCTCTGCCCCTTGGCCAACCCCTTCCCACCAACACGATCGGCACTGCCGGAAAACCCAGAACGATCAACCCTACCATCCCCATCAGCATAACCACCACCACCACCACCACCACCACCACCACCACCACCACCACCACCACCACCACCACCACCACCACCACCACCACCACCACCACCACCACCACCACCACCACCACCACCACCACCACCACCACCACCACCACCACCACCACCACCACCACCACCACCACCACCACCACCACCACCACCACCACCACCACCACCACCACCACCACCACCACCACCACCACCACCACCACCACCACCACCGCCACCACCGCCACCACCACCAGCTTCGCCATAACCATTAGCATCAGCAACACCATCACCGCAATCAGTATCACCCCCATGGCTACGGCTCTGCCTCGGCCTGTCTTTCCTGCTTCCCTTTCTCGTCAACGCAGGGCTCATCTTCCGCTCATTCCGCTCACCATCCCTGCTTTCCACCCTGCTTGTCTCACCGTCCTCATTCCACTCGCTCCTGCTGCCATTCTTCCCCCCCATCCACTTGAACGGACTCACACTCCTGCCCTCCTTGCTCTTACCCTCCTTGGCCTTGCTTCCCTTGACTTTGCTTTCCTTACCTTGGCTTTCCTCGCCCACTTTGCACGATTTCTCCTTACTCCACGATCGGCCCTCATATTTTTCTGTACCCCTATCCTGCATAGGGTCTTGACGATTTTTTCGGCTGGTGTTCTCTCTATCCACACCCTCACTCCCCTCTCCCCGCCCCTCCTTCCCCTTCCCATTCCTATCGACCTCTTTTTTTCTCGGCTGTTTAGAACCCTTGGCCTCTGCACCTTTCTCCACCTCCGCTTGTCCCTCACTCTCCCTGCTCCCCCTCGCCTTACCCTTTCTCTCTTCCCTTCCCTTCACTCCCTCACTATCCCCACTCTTCCCAACAACCCCCATCTTCTCGTTCCCTCTCTCCTCCTCGCCCTTCCTCCTCATCCCACCCTTCACTGCCACTCTCCCTGGAATCTCTCTCACGCACGCCTTCCCCCAAGTCACCCGCCGCTTCTGCTGCCTTTCCTCCTCACCCTCCGCTTCTTCCCACTCCTCCTCCCCCTTTGCCTTACCGCCTGGTCTGCACTCACTGGTGGTATGACTGCGCCTCATGTGCCCCACAAGGGGGGAGGAGCTCCGGCTGAAGTTAGATGAAACGGGTGATCCATTCACTCCTGTTCCGATCGCCCCTGCAACCAGCACTCCTGGTGACATCCCCGCTTCAGCAGCAGCTTCTTCCGTTGCTGGAGCAGTGGCGGCATCTAGAGACCCTCCCCTCATGTGCCTCGGCAGGCCATGACGCTGCCCAATGCCTCCACTCCCTCTCCTCTCTCTCCTCTCTCTCCTCTCTCCCCCACCCCTCACCTCCTCCTTCTCAACCACCCTTTGCCCATCCTCCGCCTTTTCGTCATCCCATGCACAACCCATCGTACCAACCATCGTCCCATCCTCATACCCTTCCTGATTCTTCCCATCTACCACCTTCTCTTCCTCCAAATCCCCACACTCCTTCCCAGCATCCTCCCTGCCTTCCTTCCGGTACCATCCAGCAACAGACGATGCCACAGGAGCACAGTATAGATCATCCGCATCCCCAAGCGATGCCCTTCGCCCCACTGCCTTCCCTCCTGCTGCCCGCCCCACCCTTTCCGCTGAGACTCCTGAAGCAGCAGCTGCCAAACTCGCACCAGCAACAGCAACATCAGCGCCAGCGGCGACACCAGCAGCAGCAGCAGCAGCAACAGCCCCACCACCGTTCCAATCAGCAGCGGCACCACTGCTGGCAGTTTTCCTCTCCCGCATAGACCCTCCCGAGAGCCTTCCCCCCTTTCCAAGCCGACTGGCCCTATGGGGAGAACCATACGCACACGACTTTTCCCCCTCCTCATACTGCTGCTGCTGCTGCTGCACCTGTAGCTGCTGCTGCACCTGTGACTGCTGCTGCTGCACCTGTAGCTGCTGTTGCTGCTGCTCTCTCAGCCCCAGAAGAGCCTGCTGCTGTGAGGACACATGCTGCTTGCTGCTGCCATTCTGACAGTGTGGTGACTCTATAGACCGGCTGGTAGGCACAGGAGGCGTGGTGGTGGTGACAGAGGGGCGAGGACGGGTGGGAGTGTCGGTGGCGGCACGACGAGGGATGGGACCGCTGAAGAAATGCGGAACAGATATGTAGTCGGATTGCTGCTGCTGCTGCTGCAGCTGCTGGTGCTGCTGGTGCTGCTGATGCTGCTGTAGAGAATTATGCGGGGAGTGCGATTGGGGCAAGGAGGAGCCTGGTTCGGAGGTTGCAAGAACGAGCTGCCAATAAGCTTCCCCCACTGGACCCGACATCACACCCTGACGCAGCATCCTCTGCTTCTCTGATTGCTCACTCACACCCTGCTGCTGCTGCTGCTGCTGCTGCTGCTGCTGCTGCTGCTGCTGCTGCTGCTGGTTCTGAAAGAAAGGTGGCATGGCATGTAGCGAGCAGGGGGAAGAAGGTGTGGTGCCGGGATGGGGGGCGAGAGAGGACGGAGAATTTGGGACGAGCTGGGTGGGGAGGCACCCAACAGTGGCACTACGACCATGCATCATAACCCCACCACCATCACCACCAGTGGCAGCAGCAGCCGCACGAGCGGCAGCATTGGCAGCAGCAACCTGTGCAAATAGAGCCGGGCTTGGGAAGTGGGACGTGGATCGTGGGCTGGGTGCGTGGGCGTGGGAAAGAGTGGGAGGAGAGAAGTGGAGGGGAGGAGGTGCATGAGGGTGTGCTCCTACAGTGACACTGCGACGGGACAAGGCAGGGGGGATGGGGGGAGCTCCTTCCCATCCGGCACCAGCAGCCGCAGCAGCAGCAGCAGCAGCGTCGGTGAAAACAGCAGCACCAGCGCCACTGCCACCAAACGCAGTGCTGCTGCTGCTGCCGCTGCTACTGCTGCTGTCAAAGCTACCAAAGCCAGCCCCCCGGGCTGTGCCTGAAAATCTATCTTTGGCAGAACCAGCAGCACCACCAGCAGAGCCGAAGGTTGAACTAGAGCCTCCAGAGGAGGAAGACGATTTTCTTCTCTGCTTTGGGATGACAGCATGAGGGCTGTGGTTGATGCTGGGAGAAGATGTTTCCATTGCGCTATGCTGCTGCTGATGCTTCTTCTTCTTCTGCTGCTGCTGCAGCTGCTGCTGCTGCTGCTGGCCCTGGCTCACTCCCGCTGCTGCTGTTGGCGGCACAACAGGCGGCACAGAGGCTGAAGCATTTCGCACAGAAGGTGCAATGGAAGACGAGGTGGATGCGGAGGAGGGAAACAAGGGAACAGAAGAAGGGAAGTGTGGATTTCCGCCCATAGCAGCACCACCTGGTTCCGCTGCTGCTGCTGCTGATGCAGAAGCACTGAAAGGAAACATCATCCCTGCACCTACATGGGATGGCCTTGCATGCACCATCCCCTCTCTAAGCCTAGCTTCCTCCTCCTCCCCCTCCTCCTCCCCCTCCTCCCCCTCCCCTTCCTCCTCCTCCTCCTCCTCCTCCTCCCCCCCCCCCCCTCCTCCTCCTCCTCCTCCTCCTCCTCCTCCTCCTCCTCCTCCTCCTCCTCCTCCTCCTCCTCCTCCTCATTTTCCCCCTCCTCTCCTCCTCCCACTCCCACTATAACACCCATCCTGCCTGGTCCCTGTCCCTCCCCCCTCCCGCCCCCCACTCCCCTCAGCACCCTCACTCGCCCCATGCTCTCCTCTACTGCACGCCTCCCCTCGCCCTCGTCCCGTGCGCCCACACTTCCCCCCGTTGTAGCACTCCGCATCATCATCCCTATTCTCCCCCCTCCCTCTCCCCCTCCCCCTGCCCCTGCCCCTGCCCCTGCCCCTGCCCCTGCCCCTGCCCCTGCCCCTGCCCCTGCCCCTGCCCCTGCCCCTGCCCCTGCCCCTGCCCCTGCCGCTGCCCCTGCCGCTGCCCCTGCGACCCCCCCTCCCCCTGCCCCCATCCGTCTGCATGCCACTGATCCTTCTCCCCCTGCTGCTGCTGCAGCTCTTGTGTGAGCCATTGCTGCAGAGAGCGCTTTCACACCTCTGGCCCGTCGCTCCACCATAGAACCGCCAACAGGGATCCTCCCTTGCATAAAACCCTCTTCCTCCTCTTCCTGCTGCTGCTGCTGCTGCTGTTGCTGTTGCTGCTGCTGCTGTTGCTGCTGCTGAATCTGCTGAAGCTGTTGAGTTTGCACGTGCCATTGGGAGGCTTGTGCGTGTTGCAGCAGCTGCTGTAGATCTTGCCACTGGGACATGGACATGGGCATGGGTCTATCAGTGTCAGTGCACACAGACGATGACGTGGATGCTGACGTGGGAAACACAGGAATTCTCCCTCGCTGACTCTGCTGTTGCTGCTGCTGCTGCTGCTGCTGCTGCTGCTGCTGTTCGTGCCACTGCTGCGCTCCCTCCTCGTCCACCTCCCACCGCTCCTGCTCCCTTCCGAAACCGGCAACAGCACCACAACCAGCAGCAGCAGCAGCAGCACGAGCCCCCATCGCATTGCTCTCAGCAGACGCCCTTTGTTGCATGCTCCCATGCATACTCCCCCACCCTCTTTCTCCAACCGACACTGCTGTCGGCCCACCAATCGTCCTGCTCCTGAACCTGTTAGCACCACTGCTGCTGATGCTGTTATTGTTGTTGTTATTGCAATCGACAACGTTCTCAGACACACTCGCATTCGGACTCGCATTGCCAGCAATATAGCCCCCATCCACCCCGCCGCTGCTGCTGCTGCGCCTGTGAATCTGATTCAGCGCCTGCTGCTGCTGCTCCTGGTGCTGCAGCAGCAAGGGATCAGGGGTGAAAGGGCGGAAGGGCAGAGGTCCTGAGTGGAATCCTTGCATCAAATTCATCATTAACGCTGCCTGCTGCTGCTGCTGCTGCTGTTCTGGTGTCATAACTACATCTCGAGCGGGCATTGGGAAAGGCATCTGTGACAGCCTTGGGGAGGCAGTGCTGCTTCTGCCCTCATTGAAGCTCCCACGCGCACGCCAGCTGCTCCCACTGCTGTTACTACACGTCAACCCTCCCTCCATCACCCCATGCTCCGATGCAACCCCTGGTGCTACCCCCAACGGACTCTCCCCGTGTGATCCCCCTCTCCTCCTCTCCGCCGTCTTCCTTTCCCTGCTGCTTCCGCTCCCGCTGAAGCTGCTGCTGCTTCCGCTTGCAGTGCCAGCTCTCAAAACCGCACTGCCGCTGCTACTGCTGCGCCTGCTCCTGTCATTGCTAACCCCACTGCTGCTTGCATGGCTGGCTTTACTGCCACTACGAGCACCGTCCATATCACCATCTGCGTCAGCAACACCAGAAGCATGAGCAGCAGCAGCGGCAGCAGCATGGGAAGCGGGTGAACTGGGATTCTCACAGCCTCGCTGCCCATCCTGCGCTGCTGCTTGCTGCCTCCCTAAAGCAGCAGCGTACCTCGCTTGAAGCGCCCTCTGCATCTCCTCAACCGCACCACCACCACCACTGCCGCCGCCGCCGCTGCCGATGCCACCATCCCCACTATGAGAGCGCGCATGCCCGTGCCCGTGCCCATGCCTATGCCCATGCCCATGCCCATGCCCATGCCCATTCCCATGCCCATGCCCATGCCCCTCCGCATGCCCATGCACCTGGCCATGCCCATGTCCCCTCTCTTTCTCCTTGCTCTTCCCCCTATCTCCCTCCCTCTCTTCTCCCTCCTTACGCTTATCCTTTTCCTTAGTCTTCGTCGTTCCCTTGATCGCCCGCTCACCCACCCTGCGCACTCTACTCATGTCCCTCTCCCTGCCTCTCTCCTTCCCCTTCTCCGCCTCTCTCCCCTTCCCTTTCTCTTTCACCTTCTCCCCTGTCTTGCGCCTGACCATCTCCTCCCGCTCGCCTTCCCCCTCTCCCTCCTCCTCAATTCCCTCATCCCTCCCATCGTCACTCCCCTGTGTCATCCCCACCGTCAGCATTTGCTGCAGTTGCTGTTGCTGCTGCAGCAGCAGCAGTTGTACAAAAGAGGGGGCGCCGCAAGCAGCATCTGAGCCGCTTACCACTAGACGTCTAGGGGTTGTAGCACCATTGAATGTAGCACCATTGAATGTAACTCCAGAAGGGGTCATGCACCCTCCACTGCCCCCTTGAGACCATACATCCACTTCCCCGCCCATCCCGTATGTCCCTTCTCCCCACCAGCGCTCCCCTTCCGCTTGCGCCTGCCCTTGCGCCTGCGCCTGTGCCTCCGCCCCCGTCCACTGCACGCCTTGCGGAACTAGCCCTTGCGACACCAGCGTTGGCGCAATTTCCCGCGCGCCTGTTGCCCCCTGCCCCTGCGGTGGTTGCTGCATCATGCCTTGCCACGTCACGTGCGCGTTCTCCGCCACTCCGAACACCGCGCGCTCCCCCACCTGCCACCGCCGCCGCTGCTCCGCGCCCTCCGCGCCCGCCACCACGCCCGTTGGTTCGTTATTGAGTGCCGCGAGAAGATCATAAGCGTCGACCAACCAGCGCGATACTAAACCAGCGACGGTAGCCAAAGCTTGATCCCGTGCCAATTCCTTGCTGTCCCAACTTCCCCCCCGCTTGCTCTTTCCAGGCGGCGCCCCGACGCTAGTTTCCCCTCCGCCCTTGCGCGCACTATTAGGGTTCCATATGGCCTTTCCAAGCTTCGTGCACGCGTCTACAGCGGCAGAGGCAAGCGGGTGATCGCTTGCGATGCCTACGATCTTCCACGACAGCTGCCCCGTCTGCTTGTCTACCAGCGGAAACGTCGCCAGCGGTCGCAGCGACGACATGTGCAGCGCCGTGCGACGCGTCGTCGAGATCTCCACGGCTTCCACTGGCAGCAGCGCTGCAGCCGCCGCAGCAGCGGCGATGGCGGAAGGGGGGAAACCGTCTATACCCGGCGCGGCCGAGTTCAAGAGAGCGTGTAAGGCTCCGCCAGGAGCCCACATGATCGTTTGCGGCAAAAATCCTGCGTTTATGCGACACATGCTGGTGCTGTCGAGAGCACTCTCGCACGGTCGCAGGCAAGCGAAGGTCAAGGCGGCGACGACACTTCCCGAGGAACTAGAGGAGCAGTCGGCTTGGCGCGCAAGAAAAGAGGTCGAATTGGAGGAGGAGGTGGAGGAAGACGAAGAGGAGGAATTCAAGTTGACCCAGAGCGGTTGGTGGTGCCATAATCGTCGCACTTCAGTAACAAAGCGGTCGGCGGATGTAGCCATGATAGCGCCGTCGCGGCGGTTGAAAATACAACGCGGAGCGCTGTTCCCGGCGGTTATGGCGGTTGCGCTGATTGCGGTGGGGATGGTAGTGAGAGAAGGAGCAGCAGGATCGCTGGGGAAGTTACGCGCGGGCAGGACGAGTGTAGGAGGCATGGGTCGACGTGAATGCGTCAGGTTCGGAGTAAGCTAGTAGTGTGTAGGTAACAGTAGTAGTGCTAGTACGAGTACACATGGGACATGTTCTGGCATAATCGAAAGTGTAGCTTACTATGGCCGGATGATTTAAATCTGTTTGGTTCCTCTGTAAGAGCACAAGCAAGTTCATCTGCTGCGGATGTGTGCGTTAGTGCACCAGGCTGTGCGTCTGCTATACGAATAAAAGGGGGAAAAGGACTGTTCTTCAGCGTCGAAGATGAAATAGTAGCTTACTCACGACTAGTAGAATTACAATATTAGCGATAGTTCGTACGTGTAATCCCCCATGCCCATACCCTTGATCCTACTGCAGCAATGCTGGAGCTACGACAAATCAGCCACACTCTGACTCGGCAAATATCAAAAGACGCCATAGCAAGGCAATGGAAGCCATCACGGAAGATTACGGCGTGAGGTTGGGAGGGAAGGGAACTATTTTGTGGGGTGGGGTGCGTTGGAACCAGCAGCAGAGGGGGTGGGTGCCTTTTTAGCTCTGTGGATTTCATTGTGGGTTGCGGTGTGCAGACCTACATAAAATCCGCTCTGGAAAAATAAGAGTGGGAGTGTGGGGGGAGGTGAGTGGGGGTGTGACAATCACATACAGGGTGGAGTTCAACGAAGATGATTGTATGTGACTGACGAGGGCCTCGAGTCCATCGAGTCACTCCTTCGCGAGAATCGAGGAAGTTCCAGTACATTTCACTGTACAATCGAGGAGGCGGTTGGTGGCTGTTTGACCTCACGCCATAGTTGGCCCTGGTTAGACGCAGACACCAAGGGGCTGTGGGCTGAGGGCTGACATGGCTGCGCGAGGTGAGAGGGCACCAAGTTGAACCATCCGCGCCAGGTCATTACTTGCACTGTACCACCTGCCAACCACGCCAACAGCATCTTTCATTACACGACACGACATGAGCTCATCATCCCTCGTAGAAGACACACCTTTCCAAATCGACCACCCAAACGACCTCAGGTCAATCCCCAGGTTAGTCGTGTTGCTGATCGGACGGCCAATGCTAATCGTACGCCACCTTGGTTGTCGTCCCGGTTGGTTACATTGGCTGTGCTGGTTACGGAGAGGCGTCGCACAGTCGAGGCCGCCCGCTACTCCAGAATGGAGATTGGGAAAATTTGACCGCGTCTCACCTTTTGTACACTGTACCTTCCGTCCCGTTTCTCACACAAAAGACGGTTCTACAGTGTACACCCACCTTCCCCCGCCACCGCCAATCCTGAGGGGAGCCAATGGAACGCGTCCAAACTATTTCTGTACAGCCCCACTATCCTGGTACAGTGTGACTGCTAGTCAAAACCTTATGGTGCCTGCCTTGCCTCCTTCATTAGTGCTGCTGTTGCTAGGTTTGGATCCTAAACATCATTTTCTGAAGGAACCCACACCCAGGGTGGTCTTCTGTTGGACTTTCACCATCTCCCGTAAAGCTGGACATTCATTACTTGTAGTCTTCATGTCTATCCTAATTTGCAAGAACTTGACATGCTGAATGCCGTGGATACGCAACAAAGTGTTGTATTGTCATGGCCTGCTTGTGCTAGCTCTGCTGGATCTTGTTGGCTGGCTGGCAACCACTTCTTCACCGGAGTATGCTATCATGAACTCGTGTCACTCTGTGTCGCTTCCTCTCCCACTCATCCCACGAAGGCCACGAGTTTTCTGCGAGCATTAAAGGACAGTTCAAAGTAACATGAGTGTAAATTCATTAAAATTGAGAGAGATGCAAAAAAACATTAAAGACACAAAATTGTTTCCATGCAAAGCACGGCTAACAGGCAGGTACATTTGACCACAGCCAGGGGCAGGAGAGTGCAGCAACAGGAGTGAATAAAAGGTAAGGATCAAGGCAGAGCATCTGACTAAGCCACACCGAGAACCATGCTACACACCTTTTTAGATTTCCGCTCTCTCACTTGATACCGCTCGCAACACACTCCAGTCAGCCAAGCGCCAGGTTGAAGACGCTGCCACAGGGAAGAAATACAAAAACAAGGGTAAACAAAGCAGCCTATGCTCACAGAATCTCAACATTGTACAAAGCGTGGAACGTACACAGAAACAGCAAGAGTGCACTAAGCTGCCACATATATTGAAGACAGCCAAGCCAGCCCCAACACCCACGTTACTAAGCTTACCTGGACCCCTTTCTCCACTGCCTTTGCTCGCTTCTTCGGCCTCAGGGGAAGCCTCCCTCCTCGTATGGCCCAAAAATCTTCCTCCTTTTCAACGCGCGACAAGCTGATGAGAAACTTGGGAACCACAGCGGCTGCTTCAGCTGCTGTTGGCAACGCTGCTGCCGCAGCTGCCGCTGCCGCAGCTGCTGCAGATGCTGCAGAGAGCGGGCAATGCCCTGAGAAAATCAAGGAGGCCACAGAGGGGTGTGGTGTGCTGAAAAGTTCCCGGTAGCTCTGGATCAGCCCACAGCTGCTATGGTCTTCCCACGGATCCTCGCCTGCAGTTACAGCATTGCTTTTCTTGCTCCCGCCCTTGCGGCCTTTCTCCCCGAGCTGGATCCTCTTCCGCTCCTTGCCTCTCTCTCTGTCTCGGCCCTTGTGCTCGCGAGCGTTGTGAGACTGGCCGTGGTGCCTCTTTCGCCTGGTGTGGCTGCGAGTGGGACACGAGTCATCACTGAAAGCCCCTTCCCCCGCATCTATATTGTATCCGTCCGCCTCGTCACCGCCAGACACATCATCATCAGCATCAGCATCATCATCAGAATGAGCATCAGCGTGCGGATGAGCACTAGCACCCTCATGGACGTCATCCGGTCGCTGCTGCTGCTGATCGCACTGCTCCCTGTAGCCTCTTCCTCGCGCCTCCTTCTCACCCCTCGAGCAAAGACCAGGCAAGCTTGGTTCGTGCGTGCGTGCAGAAGCACGTTTAACCTTGCAGGGGTAAGAGAACTCCATGAATTTCGCCGCGACGGCAGTCGAGCCAGCCTCTTCCTTGACCGCTTCTTCCTCCATTCTGCTTGCCGCTGCTGTACTCCCCTCCGCTCCCTCCGCTCCCTCCATCTCGCACGCTTCTCCGCCCTTCTTTGCCCCTCTCCCGCATGCAACCCGCAACCGGCATGGATCTTCTCCCGCTCGCTCGCCGCTCTCCCTCCACTCCTCCTCCCACGAGCCCTTCTTCTCGTCCTTACACACTGCACGGACTGCAGTGCTCGCTGCAATGCTCGCCACAGGAGCGCCAGCTGGCACGGAAGGATGGGAAGGAGGGCTGCTAGTGGCAGGGTTTTGACTGCGAACGTACCTCAACCGCTTTTTCTGACCCCACCGCAGAACCTCACATACGGGCTGACTCTCGCTTTCCGCCGCTGCCTCCGCGGTTCCTCGCGTGGGTGTTATGTCTGAACCGCGCTCGTCTGCAGTTTCCGCTGCTGGAGAACGAGCAAACGCGTCGGTGTGGTCTGTTGATGGAGGGGATTGCGCGGCAGACGCAGGGTGGTCCCAACTCTTGTCGTGGGAGCTATGGCTGCCGTGGCTAGGGGAACTACCCATGGTGATGCCTGTGACCGGTCCTTGAGGCAAACTGCAGAAGGTAACGCCGCCGACGCCGAGTAACAGGCCTGTTGATGATGGACTTACTTCAGCCGCCATGGCCGAATGGACCAAAAGATCCCAAGTTTTGACTCTGAAGTGCGGCGCAGATCCGTTAAAAGGATAACTTGTTGGTGAGACCTTTCAAAGGGGAGTTTCGGCGAGTTGTCCAGTGGTCGGAGTGGGATCGCCACGATGTTCAAACAAGGCTCAAGCCTGCTAAAAAGAGGGGTTGACATGAAATTTATCAGGCGCTCGAAAATGAAGTCGTGAAACTTCCGGCTTCCAACCCGCAGAAAAGCAACAAACAAGGGGAAAGAATGAGTCGTTACTACGAAGCAGGTTTCACGGAACTGCGAAAATCATCTTGTCAGATCAGAATTCACGGTTACGCCTACCATCTCTTTCCATGGGTACCATAAGAAACCACGTTCGTTCAGAACCAAAGGAACAGATTAAAAGAAGAGGGTTTCGAAAGTGCGTGAATCAAGATACAACAAAGGGATGTCACGTGCTGAGTTGTTTTTTGTCATGTGGGCCTTTACCTTGTTAAATAACTCTTCACGTAGGACGGAGATGACGCAAAACGCGCTTTCGCAAATAATGGATTCCCAAACAGTGCGAGCTTGGGAATCAACCAATCCAGACGACGTGTTCACAAAGCTTCGAAAGATGGAGAGCAGAGGTCATCCAGTGCACGACGCCTGGTGGATCTGAGTGAAAACCAAGGTCTACTTCACTATACGAGTCTCCTACACACAGGAAGGCGAAGGTGGGTCTAACCCCAAATGTAAGAGCATAATGCAAAAAGGATGCAAGGAAATGAAGAAGCGGACTTGGCCTGAACAACTCTTTACCCAGCTTGAGCATCGCTTGCTTGACTCATACATGCCCTTTTTCTGCTTTCTCCGTCCCATCCCGTTCCGTTCTGTTCCGTCTGCCTGCATCAGCAGCAGCATCGCCGTCAGTCACCAGCCAACTGGCGATTTTCCGCCTTTTCTCTCTCGACCCCATCCACACCATCGCCCATAAATCCCACCCAACCTTAATCTGACTACGGTGTGAGTCGCTGTAAAACGTTCTTGTGGGCTTAAGTGGGTTGAGGTGTGGTATTGAGTGGTAAGAATTAGGCGACAGATGCTGTTGGGGGGTAAGGGGGGTCAGGTTAGGCCTGCCGAGCCGAATCGAGCCGAGCCAAAGCACATGGTTGGTTGGGTGAGTAACCCAAGAGCATTATGTAGGCTAGGGAATGAGGACGACACGACCACCCTTGATGTAACGAGCCATCGCCTGAGAGGGCGCCCTTGAATTAGCGGCTTCCATCCATTCGCTCGCTGCAACAAAAAATGGGCGGCTCGCCTCACCTGCCTAAATCCACAACTTCCTCGTTAGCGCAGGAGGACCACCCGTGGGGTAGAGCCGCAAGGTGGGTATAGCTTTTAGATGTGTTATGAATTAACATATTGCACAATCTGTAAAAACAAATCATTCCTCACTATTTGAAAAAAATGTTACATCCCTTAATAAGCTTACCCCACATCGCGTACAACTCCAACTTGTCGAAAGAACATGTTCGTTCTGATCACCTCGCCTCCTGAAGCTGGTTCGCGTCGCCCTCAAAATTGGCGTTTCTAAACCAGCACCAAAAATCGACTTTCGAGGTGTTGAGCTTAGCTAGCGTAGGTCCCACATAATTCTTAGGGCTTCTGCTTATTGTCAATAGTTGTAATCACAACTTCTATAATGACCTCTACAAAAATTCCCTTGTACAAATCGTAACGTTATACTATGAAACCGTTTGACACAATATATTCCGGTAAATGTTGAATTCATTCTACACATCGTACATCGATTTATATATGAAGAATGTTCAAACATTATGAAGCAGGCTTGTTATGAAAGCCTTTCTTGTTTACTTACTTGTTCGATCTGTTTGGAGCGTCAAAGTAATACTAGTAGGAATAGGAGTTTGGGAAAGTTACGAGAGCAACGAGGGGGTCCTTAGAATGGGAAGGGGAAATAAATACAAGCAAGGCAAAGGTGTGCCACCAACAGTTGCAACAGTAATAAGTACACTAGTCTATGCTGACACCCCCTAGACTGCCTACAGCAAGAACCAAGTGAAAGCCACACCCCCTTAAAGGGTACACTGCCCGGGTGCGAAGGAGGCAGATCTGGAGGAATGCGCAGCGGAAGATACGGCAGGCATGTGCAGCGTCGTCATGCAGCGTCGGCATATGCAGTGGAGGCAGATGCATAGCGACGGCAAATGCAGCGGCGGCAAGTGCGGTGGCGGTAGGTGTTGCTGCTGCAGCAGGAAGCGGCGACATGTGCGCAGCGATGGCAGATGCAGCAGCGACCGAGGCATCGGCGACGGGTGCTCAGCGACGGCAGATGCAGCGGCGGCAGGTGCGGTGGCGGCTCTTAGAATCTAGGCATCAATGGAGTTGAGTATCGAGAGAATTGGTACAAGGAAGAAACCTAAGGGGTTGTACCCCACAGTATCTACCCCACTACAGCCTACCCAAAACTATAACACATATATATATGTTTGACACACCCCCATAGGCAAAGTGGGGGAGAGCAAGAGGTCACAAGACCAGTCAAGAAAAGCAAAGCAAGCTCAGGGTGGATCACAACGTCACCACACACACTGAGCACAAGCAAAAGGCCACAAGGCCAGTTCACATGCAGAGGTATATATGCAACAAGAACAGTACAGTGATCTCTACCTAGCAAGAGCAAGCATGCAGGTATATATATATAGATCACAGTACAAGCAGAGTCTACAGCAAGTGTGGAAACGTAGGCACAAGGCCCAACAAGGTACAAAAGCGCTGATGATCACCAGACGGAAGTGCCTTGGTGAATATATCAGCAGTGTTGGCCCGAGTGGCCACGTGAGCAAGACGAAGCTAACCCCGCTGCTGCAACTCTCGAGCCAGGAAGTAACGCAGAGCGATGTGCTTCGTTCTGTGCTCCAGTCTGTGCTCCTGACACAAGGCAATGGCTGCCTTGTTGTCGACGTACAGAACTGGAGGAGAACGAGGCCTCTCTCTCAGGTCGGTCAACAGGTAGGTGAGCCAGCGCAACTCCTGTGCAGCCATGGCTGTGGCGTAGATCTCAGCCTCAAAACTGGAGCTGAGAACAGAAGACGAGCGCGTAGACCGCCAAGAAACAGAGCCAGAGCCAAGACTGAAGGTGTAACCCTGTGACGACCGCTGCGTAGCCTGGTCGTCAACCCAAGAAGCGTCCGAGTGACCAGTGAGGACAACGTCGCCCCGTCCTCCAAGCACGAGCCCCATGCCCGATGTACTGAACAAGTAGCGTAGTACCCTCTTAGCAGCATCCACGTGCACCTTTCGGTGCCGACCAGGAGCCACGTAGCGAGCCAGAAGGCCAAGAGGGTACGCAAGGTCAGGTAGAGTGCAGGTCATCAGGTACATGAGGCAGCCAACTAGCTCTGGGTAAGGACCACTCGGCTCTACGGACTCGTCCGAAGGTGGAGCTGAGAGCGAGTGACCTGTAGCCAGAGGAGTGGCCTGTGCCGAGGACCAGGTGAAGCCGAAGCGCTGAAGGACGTGCTGCACCATGTGTGACTGAGTCAGAGTGATGGTGCGGCGTGCTCTGTCCCGGGTGATCTGCAAGCCAAGGTAACTGCGCAGCTCACCCAGGTCTGTGCACGTGTGTCTCTTCTGCAGCTCCGACTTCACCAAAGCGAGAGCCTCCGTGTCAGCAGTGGCAAAGACCAAGTCGTCGACGTACACGAGGATGTAGAACGGCGGCAGCGAAGTGTCGGTGCGCAGAAACAGCGACGGGTCAGCAGTCGAAGGAGCAAACCCAAGAGCCGCAAGTGTCGTCCTCAGTGTGTCATGCCACTCACGTGGCGCCTGGCGGAGACCGTAGACCGGCCGCCGGAGGCTCCCTGGGTACCAGGAGGGAACGACCCAGTGAAGCCAGGTGGGCGGCGCAGCCAGATCTCCTCGTGCAGGCTGCCCTGTAAGAAAGCTGTGCTGAAGTCAAGGGAGTGAAGCTCGTAGTCACGCTGAGCGGCAACGTGCAGCAACACCCGAAGAGTGGTCATCTTCGGGGTGGGGGAGAAAGTCTGGAAGAAGTCAACTCCCTCCCGCTGACTGAAGCCTCGAGCAACGTAACGAGCCTTGAAGACAGGCGGAGAACCTGGCGGCCGCTTCACCCTGAAAATCCACATGCCGTCGACGATGTTCGCCCCGGGAGGGGGAACCTCGTCGACGTACGTGCTTGTGGACTTCCAGGATGCCATCTCTGCGTCCATGGCTGTCTGCCACTGAGAGGAGTACTCACCCGCGATCGCCTCAGCGTAAGAGCGCGGGGTCGGGATGTCTGGTGCATCCGGGTCTCCCTCAGGGGCAAGCAGCATGGCCACGAGATGAGGCGCAGCGGCCGCAAGACACTCAAGGTCCTCCTGTCTGTCCTCAAGGACGTCCGTGCCAAGAGCACACTCACCCCCGACGGACGGAGGACAGACAGACTCAGACTCAGCAACAAGACTAGCAGCGTAGTCTAGACGACAGGCAGCAGCAAAGTCAACCAGCTCAGCGACAAAGGCAGACGCAGCAGCAGACTCAAACGACGGGTCAGTGACAACAGTGGCTAGCAGACGCGTGACAGTAGGGTGCTCAGCACGAAATCGGTCAGACTCAGGGTCCGCAACGACAGGCAGAGAAGACGCAGGAGGAGACGGCAGAGGAACACGCTGCGGAGGAGAGGAAGAACTACGGACTACGAGGTGGGTGTCGGGGACAGCCGGCTGACGCAGACGAGGAACACGACGACCGGAATGACCAGAACGGACAGGCAAGAGAGGACGCGACGCAGGCTCACGACGATCAGTAAGACCCCCTGTCTGCTCAGTGTAAGGAGAAGGAGCAAGCAGCAGTGAGCCAGGCTGTAACGGAAGACCAGTAGACGAAGGGAGACTAAGAACCTGGCGAAGCACAGAGTCAGGCGGTGGCTGAGACGACGGAGACGGTGGAGCGAAGAACAGGCGCGGCTGTGCAGTGACACCAGCACCAGCAGCT